CGGCATCTGTAGCACAAACAAGAAATTCTTACATTGGTAACCTGATTCTATATCAGCAACAACACCAGATTCAAATGATGCAACTTGCCTTAATGCAGCAGCAATTCCAACCAATACTGCCAGCTCCTTTCCAGCAACCTCCACCGAATGGTTGCTGTCACAAATACTGCCATTGGTTGACACACAGGAGAGGAAGACCACCACATGATAGATCTTGCCAAGCTAGATGGAATGGATATTCTGCTGGGTAGCAACAACAAAGATTGAGATACATAGCTTTCATATCTAATTTAGCCAGTAACTTACAATGAAATTCATGGCTGGTTGTTTCTCTGTCTCCATTCTCGAAGATTGTCAGCAAAATTCTCACTCATCACAACCAAAAGCTTCAGGTCACGGGGAGGATCTGGTCCCTCCAGCATTTTGTGAAGGTTGTAGACAACAAACTTGTACCATACTGGATACTGCTCAAGTCCCAATTCCAACATGTAATCAATGATGCTTGTCATGTTGGGAGGCAGAGGCTTGCATAGTCCATCCATGATAATCTGCTCGAGAATAGGCATATTGTAGTTGTCTGCACGCACACATTGCCAAGGCCTTCTCCAAATCACATACTGACAGGTGAATCCATTCCTTGTGGCTCTCAACTCATTGTATGGGTATCTGTTAACACTAAGCAGCCACTGTGAGAAGACCGGTGTAGTTGCGATCCTCATTGTCGGTAATAGAGGAAGGGTCGGTAGTGGTATCGGTAGCGGAAGGAGCGTCCGTAGAGGGGAAGTAGGAGTAGTAGTGGTAGTGGTAGTTGTTGTTGCCAAGAGTCTTGCCCCTACCCACGTAGTCGCTGACTTCAAGACAAAATAGTCGGTATCGGTAGAGGAAGCGGCGTCGGTAGAGGAAGGATCTCCGTAGAGGAGTGTCGGTAGAGGAAGGATCGTCTGTAGAGGAGTGTCGGTAGAGGAAGGAGTCACGGTGTCGGTAGAGGAAGGAGTGTCTGTTCGAACGGGGGACGATAGAACGATTAGTAGCATGCCATGGTCGCCATTGTGGCTAGCAACAACAACAACAACAACAACAACAACAACCAGCAAACAAAAAACAACAACAACAACACGACAACACTCCCACCAGCAACAGGTTTCGGTGGATTTTCGAAAATAATGGGAAGGTCTGGTGCAAGCGAAGGATGGGAAAAAGAGAGAAAAAGAGCCAGTCAGCCTATCCGTTGAATCAATTTGAATTTGATAAACGAACACTTCCTGACGTATTTACTTGTTCTTCCGACACATGAGAGTTAGGAGTCAGGGGCGAAGACCATAGTCATTGCCTTTTCCCCTCTCTTTCGTGCTTTTATGTGTGTCCGATTTGATCGAAATGACTCGATCTTTGCCCTGCCTGCTCTTCAAGTGGGAATCCGGAACCTCAGTCACTAACCCTCTCCCTCTTCTTCTTCTTTTCCCTCTTTTTCCCCCCCGCGCTAGCTCCTAACCCCCCATAAAGTCTCGAGAGACTCTCTCTCGAGACTTTATGGGGGGGTTAGGCATGAGCGCTGGGGAGGGAAAAGAAGAAGAAGAGGGAGGAGGGTTAGTGCTTGAGGTTCCCGATTCCCACTTGGAGAGCAGGCAGGGCAAAGATCGAGTCATTTCGATCAAATCGGACACACATAAAAGCACGAAAGAGAGGGGAAAAGGAATGGGACTATGGGCCTTCGCCCCTGACTCCTTAACTCTTCATGTGTCGGAGAAACAAGTAAATACGTCAGGAGTGTTTTCGTTTATCAAATTCAAATTGATTCAACGGATAGGCTGACTGGCTCTTTTTCTCTCTTTTTCCCATCCTTCGCTTGCACCAGACCTTCCCATTATTTTCGAAAATCCACCGAAACCTGTTGCTGGTGATGTTGTCGGTGTTGTTGTTTTGTTGTTGTTGCTGTGTTGTTGTTGTTGTTGTTGTTTGTTGTTGCTAGCCACAATGGCGACCATGGCATGCTACTAATCGTTCTATCGTCCCCCGTTCGAACAGACACTCCTTCCTCTACCGACACCGTGACTCCTTCCTCTACCGACACTCCTCTACAGACGATCCTTCCTCTACCGACACTCCTCTACGGACGATCCTTCCTCTACCGACGCCGCTTCCTTCTACCGATACCGACTATTTTGTCTTGAAGTCAGCGACTACGTGGGTAGGGGCAAGACTCTTGGCAACAACAACTACCACTACTACTTCCTACTTCCTCTACGGACGCTCCTTCCGCTACCGATACCACTACCGACCCACTTCCACCTTACCGACAATGAGGATCGCAACTACACCGGTCTTCTCACAGTGGCTGCTTAGTGTTAACAGATACCCATACAATGAGTTGAGAGCCACAAGGAATGGATTCACCTGTCAGTATGTGATTTGGAGAAGGCCTTGGCAATGTGTGCGTGCAGACAACTACAATATGCCTATTCTCGAGCAGATTATCATGGATGGACTATGCAAGCCTCTGCCTCCCAACATGACAAGCATCATTGATTACATGTTGGAATTGGGACTTGAGCAGTATCCAGTATGGTACAAGTTTGTTGTCTACAACCTTCACAAAATGCTTGAGGGACCAGATCCTCCCAGTGACCTGAAGCTTTTGGTTTGTCTGATGAGTTTGAGAATTTGTGACAATCTTCGAGATGAGAAAGAGAAACAACCAGCCATGAATTTCATTGTAAGTTACTGGCTAAATTAGATATGAAAGCTATGTATCTCAATCTTTGTTGTTGCTACCCAGCAGAATATCCATTCCATCTAGCTTGGCAAGATCTATCATGTGGTGGTCTTCCTCTCCTGTGTGTCAACCAATGGCAGTATTTGTGACAGCAACCATTCGGTGGAGGTTGCTGGAAAGGAGCTGGCAGTATTGGTTGGAATTGCTGCTGCATTAAGGCAAGTTGCATCATTTGAATCTGGTGTTGTTGCTGATATAGAATCAGGTTACCAATGTAAGAATTTCTTGTTTGTGCTACAGGAGGAGCTGTTTGTGGTGGTGGAGGTTGTGGTTGTGGAACCGGTTGTGGTTGTGGAACCCGGTTTGGTTGGTGCGTGGAAACTGGTTGTGGTTGTGAAGCTTCAACTGGACTGGTGCACAATGTACACAAGCAACAATCATTTGGTGAGTACTTCTGCCTGTGAGGTTTGAATCCAACAATGAAGTCTGAAAAGAATCGCTCTCCAGTGTCCTTTGGCAATGGCTCTGCATTTGGAAATGGCTTGTCTAGACCAACAGCCTCTGCCATGTCATTCAGGTAAGCCAACTCTGAATGGTTCCAGTAAGGAACAACCTTCTCCCATCCAGCTGGAATTGACTTCCTTTCTGTCACACTGATTCTTGACAGGAAGGCTCTCTTGTGGCGAATCTTGAGGTTGTATCTAGCAGTGCCAGCAAGGTTGAGTGCATCAGCAAGGCTCCTCCTCATTCCACCATTGCCAAAGTGGGCAAACTTGTCATGGAAAGCCTCTAACTTTGACTCTCCTCTCCTTGATAGGTACTCTGGAAGATTGTGCTTGGAGTTTGGAGAAGGTTGGATTGTGTCATACATGTCTTCCAGTGCCAGGGGATCAGCCAAGTGAGCAGCTTTCTCCACGCAGTTCTCTACAGCTGGCTTGGTATCAGAAGTGAACAAGGTATAGTTCTTGGCTGGATCGAGTCGGCCCTGTCCTGGTTGGCTACCATCACTGGCTGTCACCTTGTACCTGCAGAACCACTGCTGCAACCTCTGCCTCATTGTCTCTGGTTCTCTCATCTTCTTCCTTAGATACTTGGAGTACCTAGCTCTGAAGACCTTGGAGGCTTGCATATCTGAGATCTCAGCCATGGAGTAGTGCTTGCCATTGGAGGACAAGAGGCCATGTTTCAATGCATGGAGGACCTTCTCATAGTCATCTGGTGAGTACTCATAGAGGCAGTCCAAGAGGTCTCCCATTGCTTGAAAGTAATCAAAGTGTGCCCTTTCCTCACAAGTTGACAGAATCCTTTTCTCATAATGGAACAGGCCAAGTCCTTCCCTCGATACCTGGAAAGAGCAGCTCCCAATAGTCATCCTTGTGGGGCCAGATGTCGCTGTACATGGCAGCTGGATTGAAGTTGCTCCTCCTTGCTAGCTGCATGGCTGCATGGGAGAAGTGGATGGGTCTTGGTGGTGGGAACCAGAACTGCAGACGCAATCTCTCCAGTGTCAGTAGCAGCATCCCAAACAGCAGCAGCACCAAGACTCCTGCTGTAGTTCTTGATCACCTGGAAGGTGTGGTCTTGGCAGAAGATTCCTTTGTTGCATTTGACACTTTGGATTCTCTTGTGTGCCTTTGGTTGTCACTGATCCTCCATGGATTCCTGTTTGAAGCACAAGCAGCATCATAGATGTCACGGATGGTGTCACCAAGAGGAGGAAACTGTCTGATGTAAGTGCCATCCTTTTGAAGAAAGGATCGGATCAGTGGCGCTTCCTTGCCAGTATGAAGTATGACATCATGGCTCTAAGTACTCTCTGTTGATTGCTTGTAGATGGGCGGCTGCATAGGTCTCCATTTCATAGGTTAACATGATAGAATCGAATACTTCTGTTCTGTTCGCTCCAAGTGACAAGCCTTGTTAGGAGAGCATACTTGGACTCCACTGGATAGAGCAATGAAACATGGTCTGGGATCGAGACCAGCACTTCTGCAGAGTTGGCATCGAATCTTTCTGTTGCAGCTTCCACAAACCATGGACAGACTATACACCAAGAAGGAGGACCAGTGATGCCAAAGATGGGGAAAAAGTCTTGTTGTGTGACCAGTTTGCTTGTATTCTTGAGTTTGCCAGAGCATCTTCCATCGGGACAAGGAACTGTAATTCCACATCGATTCCAGCCACTAGAAGAGTTTCTGCCCAACAATGGAGTGGTAGTGAGGAGACTCGAATTGCTCCTCTGTGGAGGGAACTGTCATGGTGAGTCCTTGGAAGTGTTTGTGGAAGAGTTTGGATTCTTGCCTGGTAATGGATTTGACACGCTTCTGCCAGTCTAGCATTGCCAGTGGTGCTCCTTTCTTCTTGTGCTTTTCCACAAAGGCAGTATCATTAACAAGAGTGGTTACCTTTTCACAAAGAGTACTGGAGTGGCCATTGCTGCCTTTTTTGTTGCTGTTGCCGGCTCTGCTTTGTTTTGGCTGTGTTGGTTCTGCAGCAAAGAATGCTTCTCCATTTTCTCTTGTGGAATGCCTCCAGCTTCCTCTCTCATTCAGTGGTAGAGGAGCACTGAATTGTCTGGTGAGTCTTCTGCTTTCTTGATTGTCTCCATGGTCAGCGCATTCAAAGGTCCTTGTCCTTTTGTTATTGTATTCTTAATACAGAAGACAGAGTGTGATCTCTTGGGGACTCTGAGACCAAGATGTCTGCCTTACAGATGACACAGTTCTTGAGTGGATCAAAGACTTCTGCTACCACTCCTCCCAGTGTTGTTTGCGGTCCTTCTTCTCTGGCTCTCTTGGATCTGTTGTTGTTGTTGGAGGCGTGATATGCTCTCTTCTGTTGCGAGTTCCTCTGTTGACTTTGGCAGCCCATTCCTCCATTGTGAGTGGTAGCTGCTGTGTTGCTGCTGTGCTGTTGCTTCTGCTGCTGCTGTTCCGGTCATGATGTGCTTTTGGCTGAGATAATGACTGTCGAGTGGCTCTCCGTGGTTGGTTGAGTGAGCGGCAGGATGTCATTGTCGCGATCGGAAGAGGAATCCTTCTTTCGCGAAAACAGAAACACGAAATTTCGAACTTTATAGCACACTGTATCCGTAATAACTATAAATGGTACGTTAATTGATTTAAATCTTATTCCATAAATATTGCTGACATATACATGTTCTTCAGAACTCGTTAGCCAATCAGATCACTGCCTTCCACCCCTTTCGCCCTTCTCGAATGAGTACATGTAGACTAGTATTACGGAAGTAAGCAGCAGAGCTGCACCAGCCAATCTGGCTAGCTAGTAGCCGCACCTTGACGACTACTACTAAGCTAGCTAGCTAGCTAGTAGAGTAAGTACCGGTGGGTACAGTACATCAGCTCGGGGGGAAGTGTTGGGAACAAGGTGCCCACCCTTCACAAGATACTAGTACTAGTAGCAGTATTGTACAACGGTTTCTCGGTTTCTTATTCCCTTCCGAATTTCAGCAGCAGCGCAGCAGCTCCAGCAGCTATTCCACACAGAAGCCGTTTCGTACGTACTCCATGTATTCTTGTTAAGTTTGGTGCCCCTTCTGGTCCAACTCAAGAAAAACGTACTTTGGAAACAGAGAAAAGAAGGACAGAACGGAATCTCGTACGTACGAATCAGCAGCCAGCAAGGTTTAAGCTGCTGAAAGCTACCGTACTGTACTGTAAACTTGTTGTATGTATTACGTGAGCTGCATAGAAGTTCTCCGGAAGTCCCCCCTCTTCTTCTTGACCTTCTCAAGAATAGAAGGCTTCTGTGCACGCCCCTCGGGATTCGGGATGAGCTGATGAGCTATTCATATGCTGCTAGACTACTTGCTACTAGCTAGCTAGTAATCCGGAGAGCTTCCGGAGTACGTACGACGTACGACAGTACCGTTACAAATAACTCTGAGAGCTCTCCGAGTAATAAGCACACTCAAAATACTAGTAGAAAAATAGCTTAAAATAGTACTCTAAACATACAGTACATTTAACGCTCGGAGTCCCAGAATCTGGGAGTCACCCCTGCGAACTCGATACCTCTACCAGTACGACTGTACCTTTACTCCATGGTTGATGGTTGATGAGTCGAGTCGAGTCTGCCATCATGTACAAAGGAGGTTCTGTTGAACCGGAATCGAAGAAGACGGCTGTCGAGGCGTCCCTTGTTGCATTAGTAGTAGTCGCTTGTTGTTTCATTAACCGTAGAGTCGTCGTCGCTCCGTCGTGTTAGAGGAGGCGTCATGGTCGCTCCGATTGATCGCTCCGTGGAAGAAGAAGACCGATCGCCGAACGGCTGCCGCTGCCACTACCGGTAGCCAAGCAAGAGGAGCCTGTCATGGTGGTGAGTAGTAGCCTTTGTTAAGAGGAGCAGCCGCTGTAAAGAGGATATAGCATCATCTTGATAGAGTAAATTCAAAGGCGATTTTCCTGGAAGACAGGATATTCAGGTAGATGCGGGAATAAAATAGAAATCTGACCCAATATTTACCACACCTACCGGTAGAGACTCCCAGAATCTGGGAGTGGGGTCTCCCAGATTTTGGGAGTGGGGTCTCCCAGATTTTGGGACTCCGAGCGTTAAACATGTACTCAGAACCTCGTAGCATAAAAACAAAGTGCCCCAGGAGGCATGCACGACTGGGCAGCAGTCGGCTCGATTTGGTTCCTTTATTTTGGATTTAGAGTCACTGCACCATGTTTATGTAGCTGTTTATGTAAACTTGTTGAATTATTAATACTTACTTGACCGGACAGTCTCCCGGAGGAACTTTGAGAGAAGTCCACTTTACCTTCAAAGAAAGAAGGCTTCTGTGCACGATCCCCCTTTTAACCTGGGTTCCCTTTCCAAGATTTGCGATTGAATGGTTATCACGTTTTTACACACTCCTCCAAAACCAGAAAACCAGTGACCTGCAAACTGCGAAGTCCACACAATTTCTACGCTGGCTATGGTCGCCACCGGTAACCGCCGCGACCGTGCACCTACCGTACCGCACCAGCTTTTTAATAGTTGCAGCCGCAGCTACCGGTACAACACCTGAACAGAACCGTCTGGCAACTTGTAGCTGGCTAGCTAGCTAGTAGCCACGGAAGTAGACCAGCGGAGCTCCAGTACCGTAGCTAGAGGATACAGGCCGGCCGCAGGGAAGCTAAGGGGAAGCAAAGGGAAGCTTGTACAGAACAGAATAGAACAGTTGAACAGTTTACTAGGAGTATTCAGTAACTGATTTCTGGCTGGTGTATTTTTCCCAGAAGAAAGAGGACGCTGGCTCAGCCCGTGTCCGGCTCAAATCTTACTCAGAAGCCGGGGTCCGGTCCTCGAAAGTCTTCTTTCGTCGCAGCATTCTGAAACGCTTGCTGCCATCCGATGATCCTGCAATTTCCCAGTTCCTGATCCCAGCGCGTCATGGTTGTTGGGGCTTCTCAGTGCGGGATCCCAGCTACAGAAAAGACAATACCGGTAGGCGTAGACTTCGCCGATCATGGTTGGTTTTATATGATCGTTTTGCTTGCTTCTGCAAAGTCTTCTGCTGGCCCGGAAAGATTGCAAGTGATCTGGCTGATAGTTTTCGTATGCTCTGAAGCAGCAGGCCCATGGCCGCCCAAAAATTTGTATCCACATTCAAATGAAACCGTCCAGTCCAGCAAGAAACTGCACCTGAACCTCCCGTACGATCTACCGGTATCCATGAAGGATGAAGGTGCTGCGATCCACCCACGGTTCAAACTGCTGGTAAGCCAAACTGTACATGAAATTTAGCCCATGCAATTCTAGTGCGTGCTTTCTTAGGTACTGTATGCCTTGTACTCAACCATCCGAAGTGAGGCTCATTGGGATGGAGGAGCACTCCTCGCGGCTTCACCACCGGCCTGAATTGCTGTTCTCTTTTTCATGTTCCGTAATCTCAGGTGTAGTATTCTGCTCAGCGCTCTCCGCTTCATTGATGGCGTCTGTACTGGCCTGCTCTGTTTCTTCCAAAATGTCGGTCCATGGTGCCGCCATACAGAGAAGAAGGAAACTGACTGTGAAGAAACCGGATATGGCAATAACGCCGTATTGAACTGGAACGCCAACTTCCACCAGGGATGAAAAGATGAGATGCGGGAGCCAGAGCAAAATGACCAGGCAGTAGGAGAACAGCCCAGCCAGCTCTGTTTCATGTCCATTCCGAGGAGTAACCATGCTAAAGAACAGAATCTAGAGACAATGGAGCAAGTCAGTGTAACGGAACAGGATTGGATTTGTTCCCAAACAACCAATGAACTCACCTGAGCGGGGTTGTACCAGCCAGTGCCCAATCCTACAAAAATAGCCCAGATGTAACCACCCGGTTTTACGTTCTCCTTAGTCAATGTGAGGGCACCAATGATGGCGGAGGCCTGACTGTAGACCATGACAAGCATGTAGGAGATCTTTGGGTTTGTCTTGTTGGACACCAAATAGTTGAGACCTGTGCCAAAGGGCGTCGCCAACATGCCCACCACGAAAAAAACTCCGATCTCGGTCGAACTTAGACCCATTTCTTCTGTCAGGAAGACGACCGCCACCACGCTGAATGCTTCCATAGCGGATTCAGCAAACACGGTGCCCAAGAGAAACCATCTTATGCCGCGTTTGTACTCCCTGTTGATCTTCTTTGCGGTTGTCCACACCTCCCACAGGTCCACAGCGATCGTGATTTCCCTGTACGTGGGTTGATGGGCAGCTTGTGCCTTGCCGAAACCTTTGGCATGAGCCTCCAACCAAAGTAGAACGTGGGAATCAGGATGACGGTATTGATGCCTTGGCTAATTCGAGCGGTTTCGACATCCTGCAAATCAAGAGCCATGGAAGAGGCGACTACGAGAACCATGAACGCAATCTGTGACGAGAACAAATTGGAATAGAAAACCGACGTGTCTGCACGAAACGAAAGGCAGCGTGTTGGACGAAGGCTGCTTTGCAAGTACGGCCGCCAATAGTGCTTGTTGCTTACATTGGTTCATGGTTTGCTCCGACACCAGCCCCGCAATGGCGGGAAGGTATGCATACGTTGTGATAATCTCTACATTGAAAAGGAACCAGGCAAATGCCTGCAGAACGGCCATGGCCAGCCAGGTGTAGCTGTTGGTGCCTATCTGGACTGCTTGTATGGCGATCAGGGCAATGGCACAGAATACCCCCACCTGCCAACGATAGGGAGTATAATCAATGATGGCGCCCAACAGAGGCATCAAAAGTGCCGACAAGAGTCCAGCGATGAGTGCGACATTGGTCATCAGCGAAGTTGGCCGTATGATCCCGAAGGCGCGGGCATTGCAATTGTCTATCACTTCCATGTGGCCGGATTCCACTTCCTGGACACACCCAGCTTCTTCATTGGCTAAGTAAGTAAGCGCAGTGACAAGGAAGACATTCGACATGAGCAGGGGGCCTCGTCCTATGCCAAGCTAAGTACGTAAAGCAAGGGGTAAGTTTGCGTTCCTCGCGTCAGCATTCCTCGTATCAGCATCCTTTGTACTTTGTACCGATACATGCCAAAAACCAACCTACTTACAATGTTGAATCCTTGGACTATCTTCCTGCCCTCAAAGCGCATGCAAGTTTGACAACATGATTTCTTATCAGCTTCTATTGGTGCGCTCATGGCCGCGTCAACCGCTGGGGTATTCTCTGAGGGTTTCGGAATCGGAACGACATTGTCCTCTATAACGGGTCCTCCTTGCACTGCATACCCCTGCTCAATTTCATCCATGGCCTCTGTCATTGCTTTGCTATTGGTAAAATATAATTGAAGTTCTGAGTCCGTCTGATTGTGAGCTCACTCCTACGCTACCAATCCGGGCGTTGTATGCATCCTGTAAAGCGAAGCCAATAACAAAATTAACTTAAATCAATGAAAATATTGAAAATAGTCATTAGCTAGCTAGCTAGAAAGGAATCTTCTTCATTCATTCCTCAAGGTACAGTACCGGACACTTCAACTGCAGGCACTGTGTCGTTAGTCAGTAAGATCCAACGTCTCTGCACGGACGCTTGCTGGGGATTGGAACGAGGAAGCACACCAGGGCACAATTAGGGAGCACGATGATCGGCTTTCCGTGACGACAGCGCTGGCCACAAAGGTGCGCAATGCTCATTGAAGAGGTGCACGGCGATGCCTCGTAGACTTGGCAGCACTGAGCAAGAAGTTGAGGTACGGTATCGGCTAGCTAATAGCCATCCAACCAAACCATCGGAAACATGGGTATTCTCGATGGCCTTGTCAAGGGTGTTGCCATGGCGACTGCCGCGGGCGTTGGGACTCGCTACCTGTTGGCCAAGGCCCCTCCTATCGTCTGTACCGCGGGAACGATCGGGGGCGCGACGATGGGACTGCTGTGCTACAGCCGAGTCTGGGTTCAAGGATACTGGATCGACGAAACTTGTCGAATCCAACGCGATTTGACAGGAAGTTGCGCAGTTGTTACCGGAGGAACCGTGGGAGGAATTGGGTTTGCCGCTGCAGAAATGTTGGCGCAAAAGGGAGCCACCGTCATTGTCACTTGTCGAAGCCAAGCCAAGGGCCAATCCGCTGTAAAGCAATTAAGAGAAGCATGCGGCCACAATAAGATCCATTACGTGCTAGTGGACTTTTTGTCCAACCAATCCGTCCGAGATGGAGCCGCAGCTATTGGAAAGCTCACGGATCGCCTGGATTTTCTCATCTTGAATGCAGGCATTGCCTCAGGACCCCACGAAAATATTTGGCAGACGAATCATATTGGACCCTTTTTGTTTACCCAAGAGCTTTCCAAGCTACTTAATGACACCGCCAAGAAGCACGATGTTCGGGTAGTGTCGGTCTCTTCAGGCGCCCACAAGAACGCACGAATTCACTGGGCCGATCCTTTTCGCATCCCTCCTGAACAACGCAAGCTCTTTGGAGGGGCCTATGGCCAAAGCAAACTGGCCAATATCCTTCACATGAGGGAGCTCCAACACCATGTCGATGCAAAGTGTTTTTCCGTGACGCCAGGAGCTGTTAAGACCAACATGCTCTTGAAGGAAGTTCCCACGGTGGCGCACCCGCTCCTCTACTTTGTCTTGAGGAGCCCCGCCATTGGGGCACAAGTGATCCTATCGGCCTGCCTGGACCCCGGCATCCCCAGCGGATCCTACCTCAGCAATTGTCGCGTCAAGGCGTCGGAAGGATTCGAGTCCTGTTCCAACGACGAAGCTCAAGCGAAAAAGTTGTGGGAGCTCACTGAACGCCAAATCAAAGAGAATAGGTTTCCATGACACCTATCCATGCATAAATGAAACGATCCAGCCATGAAGTAATGAAGGAAATGGTTCCCAATTACGTAGTTCTAGCTACTAGCTAGCTACCCAGGCAGACATGCTATGTGGAATCGTAGCGGTACTAGTAGCTTCCGTAGCTAATTTCCCTACTCTAAAACCCCCCTGTTTGTTTGGTTCGGCGCCCAACTCTTTCTGGATATTTGATACCCTGAACTCTACTGTATCATTGTAAAGATCCAAAGATCCATGTTCTTCTCTCCTTTGGCTTCTCGACGACGCTCTAAAAAAAAGGACACTTCGGTTAAAAACTCCTACAACTGTTACTCGAGTAAAGTTACTCCAAATGACCCTAAGTACTCAGTCCCGGACCCTCAGTCCTCTATGTCTAACCAGTACCAGATACCGATTCCGCCAACAGAAAGGTACAAAATCTACATAAGAAAAGCAAAATTCCAACGGAAGAACCACAGAGCCCAATAACACCCAGAGACACATTCCAACCGCAGCATTGTTACTCCAGAGTACACATTAAACGTATAGTCCCCTAAGTACCAAAGAGCATTGTTACTCAAAACTCACCCTCTATATCTGTAGCTTTTTCGGCATCGTGGAAGCAATCAAGCAACTAGCCTCTCACAAAATCGATTCAGTTTTACTTGTATCCTATTATCTTGCGACAATGGCGGTCGGAGCTACCGAAGACGATGGATGGGTCTATCCCTTCAAGAAGCAGCATCAGACGACCATGGTGGGCTTCATGTCTCATTTGAATGGTCAAGTCTATCCCAAGAACAAGCATTTTAGCAAGGAATCTTTGTTGGCCATTATCCCGACGAACGTGAAACATTATCTCAACTTTCGGGCATATGGCAAAGATGAGCCAGGAGAGGGTGATTTCCCTATCCACATGCGCTCTGGTTCTGTGGAGAAGCTCAAGCAGAGCATCAGTTGGTACATGGTCAACAAGAACGTTCCATGGTTGGATGGGCGTGGAGGAAATCCAGCAAGACATGTGTCGCTCAATGAAGCCATCAAGAAGATCGAACGCCATGAGGCAAGAGATGAGGGCAAGGATGCGAATGACAAGCGCGCCTACAACAACAATGAGTTTTACAAACTGTTGGAGATGTTCCGCCGCAAGGAGGATTTCAACCACAAGTACAAGTATCCCATGATGTCGCTGTGGTCTTATCACCTCATCCACCGACTTGATGATACCTGCCACTTCAAAGTGGATGCCCCTCAGGGCTGTGTCGAGTATCCCTTTGCAATCTACACCAAGACCAGATACTCGAAGAACGTTCGAAGCATGATAGATTGTCCGGATCAGGTTCTACTTGGTGCTGATGAGTGGAAGATTTGTCCACAATTGAACTTGGCGATTCACCTTGACAAGTGGCTACAGCGCAATCCCAATGCCGTTCATCTGTTTACAGAGAATGATCATGCAGAGAAAGGACCACACAACCTCAACCAGCAGTATAGCAACCGAGTTAAAGCTACTGTGTGGAAGCACGATGAATTCAAGGACTTGGAAGATCAAGTTGGATGCAAGAAAGGTGTCGGCACTCACAGCATGCGAAAGTATGCTTCCACGAAAGCGTCACGGAAGGGAGCCAACACCAGCCAAATTGAGTATCGTGGAAGATGGGTTGGTGACAAGAGTGGTCGTGTCGTGGCTCTCCGTTATATTGACAAGACCGACAACTATGCTGATGCCTTTGTGGCTGGGATCCTTTGTGATGGAGGACCAATCAAGTATGAGGCACGCAATATCTCTGATGAGTTTCTCAAGCAACATGTCATCAGCTACATCAGCAATCGAATCGAAGACATCAGACTGTTGCGTGTGCTTGGCCTGGCGAAGCTTTGGGCTGTTTTCGATCCTGAGGCTAGTCAGCTACTTGATGACGAGGAAGTGCAATATATTCGTGGAATGTTTGCTACTACTTATGGCGCTACGGAAGCTAATCCAGTCAAGAAGGTGGCTCTCGAGATTTTCAATGTAAACGGAGAGCTTGATATTCGAGCCAGAGTTAACAACAACAACAACAATGGCAATGGCGGCGCCGCCACCGCAGGAGCCACCGCAGGGTACTCATTCACAATGCCGGTGTCTCGTTCATTGATGGAACTTCGAAAGATGGATACCAACTTGTTTGGCAAGTCAATGCACTAGCACCCGCCTTGTTGACGGAACTCGTGTTGCCCATGCTGAATCCCAAAGATAGTCGCATCCTCCACATTTCCTCCGAAATGCACAAAATGTGTGGTGGCCTGTTCTTTGGCAGCAAGTCCATTGTGGACAAGTATTGTCCTCCCAACCCCAAGAAAGGAAGTGCTTCCGCCGATTACGCCCTGAGCAAGGCTTGTCAAATACTCATGGCGACACAACTCAACCATGCTCGCAAGATTCGCGCCTTTGCCATTGAACCTGGATTGGTTCGTACCCAAATTGGACGGCATGCCCCAGCTCAGTGGGCCCTGGAATTAGAGTATCTCCTATTGGGGCCATTTTTCTTGAGGACGGTGGATCAAGGATGCTCATCGACACTGTTTTGTGCTCTTGCTCCCATGGAAGTATTGAATGGACCTGGTAATGATGGCAACAAGGAGACTCCTTTTTATTATGCCAATTGTCAGCCCAAGAAGCCAAAGGCTGTTTGTCTGGACGCGGAAGAGGCTCAACGGCTGCAAGATCTCTACAAGAAATGTTGGAAGGACTTTTTGTAGCTTCGGAAAAGGTTGGCAGAACGATTGCCGTGGATGAAGTAGGATTGAATCAGAATCAAGCCAGTATCCTCCATTGTAATGAGCAGGTGCTACGGTAGATCATAGATGTTCTGTGATGCCCATTGATTTCGATGAACTTGTTTTTTTTAAAACCATTCAATCCACAGGATCCACGACGTGGATTGCCTCTCTCTGAGAGAAAAACTTTATGGATCATACATGAGGTCATTATTAGATGTTGGCATTTCAAATTCAAATGATCAGTTTGCTTCTGCTCGGAAACCAGCTTGTGGTGTCGCTGGAGAGAAGTTGTGAACATGTTCACCCCGAAATCTGCTGTCTTCGGTACGAAACTGCATTGCACATCAAATTTTGAGGATATACCACGTAAGACTCTCACAATGCTACCACTATCCTACAAGGAATTCTGGTGTGCTGTCGGCTCTTGAAGAAGGGTGTTGCTTCTTCAATATGATTTATACCCTGCACTACCTCGTCCCAACCCACCTACTAATAAAAAAAGGCTGGGACTGGAGCAGCAGTACGGTACTCAGCTGCATAAAGTTACGGCCTGGACTGTAATTGTGCTCACCTCGTCACTTCATTAATTTTATTTAGGATGTGGAGTTGCGTCCGGGGATGCGCTGTAGCTTTTGGAGCTCTTCTGGATGCAGTTTCGTCGCTCGACAGTGCACCGGTAGGGCGGCCGGTCCAATGTTCCAACTTTCAGCAGAACAGACAGGTGAACTTGCAGTGAGTGAAAAGAATTTCAAGTGCCCCTCAACAGAAAGTCCTTGTCCCCTCTAAACCATTGAGGCCCTTCCGCTTGAAGGGCGCAGTTGCAGGGTTGCAGCTTCCTGAAGATACAGAGGAAGCAAAGAAATTACGCTCCACGCTATTGCTCACTCATGTGCTCTGCGGCTCTTCTACCGGTTCCAGGTACGGCGTAGTACAGTGTACCGTCCTTTCTTCATGCTCTCCTCCCAGCCTCCAGCCAAAGCAAACAATCCTCATCAATCATCGGCTACATGTTCCTCTCTCATAATTTTGATTCCCCGAGATCAAAACAGGATCTTCTTCTTGCTTGCTTCCACTCTTGACGAAACCAAGCAAAGAAACGATGATGGATCGCACGCCTTGCTTCCACATGTCACCTTTGGAACTTTTTAACCCAATTCCAGAGTCTTTGATCGTCTCCGCGAGAGCCAAGTCGTCTCCATCCGCCACTGTGATCTCCACCACCACTGTGGAACCATCAGCTGCTTGTTACCCGGGCGGCTTGGAGTGGGAGGAGGACGATGAAGAAGATCTGGAGGTGAGCTGTCACAGTTCCAGCAGTCGCGTCTCCTTCAACGTAGATGTCAAGGTGGTGGAGATACCGTCGCACAGGGATTATCCAGAAGAAACTCGAGAGTTACTCTGGCGCAGCTCTTCCGATCTCGCGGTTGATGTCGAACGAAACTCCTTTGAGTTTTGCTCTGATGGGGAAGACTGGAGGGCTGCTACCGAAGAACAAGACTTTGCTCAATTGCCCTCATCCGGAGAGTTGGTCCATCCTGCCACTTGGTTGAGAGAAACCAAATCCTATGGTGCCGCCTTGAGGTCGCTCAAAAGACGACGCAGTAGCAGCAGCCGTCAAAGGCGAGGATCTCGTTCCGGGCGCGTCAACTTGATTCACGCTTACATGGATGACATTGTGTCGACTCCCAAAAGGAGTATGAAAACCTCCAGCTCGACTCGCCCTGGACAGCTTCTCCTGCCCTCTTGGTTTTCGCAACTATTGACGGATGATTGATGCAACAGCAGCAGTGGAAGTTTTGATAGTAGTTTTGTGGAACTGACATCAGTGGACATGCAGTACACTACACATGTACATAAACTACATTTAAGAGTTTTGGTTGGACTGTACTAGTACCAGTATTCTCCCCTGTAACTACTTATGCTCAACCTGGCTCTCTTGGGGGATTTGTATCCACGTCTGAAGCTGTCCGTGTCTCATCGCACAAGAGCACCATGGACGGAGCAAGGCTCTGCTGAATGCCGCAACGACCAACACCATCATGTAGACCGATGGAGAAGTTCCCGCCCTGTCGAGCTGTTCCACAGCTCATTTGTATCATTCCTGAAGGACAATACTACAGGTCGAGTTGAGGCAACTATTTAAAACTCACTTGTGCATTGCCTGATGGCTGGGTCATACAGTATTATGGATCCAAGTTGGGTTGTGAAGTAACGAGTTGTTTCAGTGTGGTGGGATCATTGGCAATGGCTTTCATAAGGTTCTCAAAGGCTGGACGGTCGGTGATTCCTACCTGGATGCCAAGGATGTCAATCTTCTCAGTATCGACCTTGACTTTGGTTGGAATAATGGCAATGGGACAGGTGATGGAAGGCCTCTGCTGACGTAACCAACTGGATACCCTGGGTAACAGGCCATCGCGGAAGGTCTTCTTAGGATTCTTCCCGGCAATGTAGCATACTGTGGCAGTTTGGGATTCCTCCAAGCTGTGTGGCGGACATGCAACGTGCTGGATTTAATAGTGGCGCTGCTGCTCGTCTTGTGGTGTTTGCGCTTTTTGTGGGTGGGGTCGCTCATCTATCTTTTGTTTGTTTCCGCATAAAGATCCGAAGTCACGTTGGGAATGCAATTTGTGTAGGTAACGTGGTCTATCCTGTTGTGAGGATACCACCATCATGATAGTTTGTCAATTAGTATCCACCTGCTTCCGCATATTCAGTGTTTCCTGTGGCCATTACATCACGAATGCAGCCAGCTCTTTCATCGAACGACCACCCAGCACAAGCAATCTCTGCTTCAGGGCGAGAGATGCTCTCACCCAGACGGCGCCGGATACTGCTCACGTCACTCGGAGCCCGTAAAACACACTTTTCTGGATACTGAGGGTACCGATCACGGACTTCAAAAAGTGTGGGGTCGCTGTTGCCGTTATCAGAACCAAGGAAGGAAAGCAAAGAGATTTAGGGACAATATAGAGAGCGATAGGAAGCATGTCGAGTGATGAGTCACATCAGGTTTGTTCGCGTACCTATCACGAACCTGCCACTCTTGTCCGAATTCGTTGGGATCAGTGAGCTCTGTCACTCCATCCCGGGCAAGCATTTTGTGCCCATGGATAGCACCCATCAGTCCAGTGGAGTTCTTCAGCCAAGTGTACAAATCGGCAAAGCCTTCTTCGCTGGGAGTAATCTTGACATTCACCATGTCCTTGAGCGTATTAAGCTCGATGATATCTCCATTCCCAATGTTGATACTGAAACGATGCTGCTTCTCGCTGAGTTGATGGTGAGCGATTGGATACAGAGAAGAAGTCAGGTCTGCACTCTCCACACCATTCAATCGGTACTCCCCGAAAGAGGAGATATCCAGTACAAACTTGGAACCAATTCGAAGCGCCGCAGACTCAATATAACTGTACGCTGCAATATTGGCCCAGAACAGGTTAGGTGTGGTACTCAAGAGGATCACACCATCAAAATGAACCCGTGTACACGTGGTCACGTACCATAGCGGAGCTTTGTTCGAATTTGAATCTCCATGCCCAAAGAGTTGAGGAAATTGGGTACGCGAGCAAAAACCAGGTCGCACATTCCATGATAATCAAAAACTCTACCAGACCAAGTCTTTTGGGGAAGGAAACAGATCGAGCTGAGAGTTCTGAGGTATGACAACTTCCAAGAAAGCAAAATGGTCGGCCTACCTTGAAATGAGGATCACCACCGGCATAAACTTTTGTTTCTTCGTGATGTGCATGGATCTTGATGCTGAAGCCGTTGATATACTGCACCCCGAAAAGTTTTCGGTGGTTGGTGATCGTGATTTTGGCATGTATTACTTCCAGAGAGGCTTCTCGTTTCTATCTTCGATCTTTCCTTCAAACTCCATAACAGTTGAGTACGGACGAATGGTTGACAATACATCGCCTCCCGTAATGGTGATGTCAAGGTCGTCATCGGAGGCAACCGCCTTCCAGGTTTGTCGAAGTTCTGCAATAGCCCTTGCATTAGAATACGACAATGGAAGGAACAATAAGAGAGATCGCCAAAGAAGACATCAAAATAACACACATGGTAGACTGGCTTACATGACATGACGTCGTTAGCTCAACGATTACTCCAGCAGCAATATCCAATCGAATCTTTGTGAACAGCCTTCGGTGATGTAAATGTGCGCACCCGGATTCTTCGTTCTCGATTTCTTCGGGTGTACAGTCTCTTTCGATCTGCGCTGCTTGCGGCTCGGGCTGGACAACGGCTACTTCGCTTTTGGCAGTTCGAAGAGACGTCGAGACTGTCTCGCCCAGCAAAAGCAGGAGCAACGAGAAGATAAAAATTTTTCGAACGCATTGCTTCGTCTTTGTACTGGTATAGCCTCAAAAGGGCAAAGGAGCCAATCGTTTGGATTTTCTTGAATTGAAAATTGTGGTAGGCATGCCACAAAATGCCAATGAACCAAGCAATGACGGAAAGATTGATTGGGCTGAATGTGCGACCAGAATGATTCGTTTCATCGTGAAGCTACCTTTGGACCAATCCTCTAAATGCACCTGTTGCTGGTAAGCCCTTGGCTTTCTCTAGCCTGGAGTATGCTTTGAATCACTCATTGCTTCTTGTTGATTCCCTCTTGGCAATGCACAAGATATTTGCCTTGGTTTCCCGAGTGCATTCAGGAAAATGGAACAGTCAATTCTGTGTCTGTTTGAGAGTCCATTGAATCACTCATTGCTGCTTGTTGATTCGATTCCCTATCGGCACCGCAGAAGATTTCTGCCCGCAGGTGTAGGAAACTGTTATGATCAATCGATTGTCACTTTGAGAGTGCATTGAATCACTCATTGCTGCTTTTGGATACAATTTCGAGACAACAGCTGGGATGGGCTGTTGTCCAGGGGGGTTGCCTCTATTGATGCTCCGTGGGCTTGTCTCTGCAAAACACAGTATTTTAGCATTTTAGCACTCCAACCTGTTGCTGCATTTGATGCTGTAAAGGCTTAACAAAGTAAGGTACCGGTATGAACACTCCCTGCTCTGACTCCGGAGGGGGGCACATCGAGATATGAACAGGTTTTGGTATCTGATTTTCAGGTTTCAATCCTGACCCTGACTTCAGATCTCCTTCTGGGTCATGCTCAGCTCAAGCTTTGTGAGGCTCTCCCCCAGTCCATCCGGACTGAGAGATAGCCAACAACCAACCACTTGACCATGGATGATGAGCAGCAGAAGGAGAAGGCGACCGAGGGCAATCCCGAAGGGATTGGAGACAAAAATGGTCCTCACTTTCTTGCCCCTGATCCCACAGAACCTAGTCCTGAATTTAGATTGTTCTTTGCTTAAGCCTGGCCCCGGCTGGCTTCTGTAGATAATTTCCCTACTCTAAACCCCCCCCAGCGAGGAGAGACAAATGATGAGAGACATGATGGTGTCAATGCGCTCGCGAGGGGTTCTCGCATAGAAATTTTAACGGTTCTCCTTCGAATGTCGAAGGCGCCAGCCGAGCTTTTGAAGCGCAAGTGTGACCGTGGTCTCTTGCTCTGTCATGTCTTGCGGGATCAGTATCCACGTCTGAGGTCTGACAACCACAACAGCGAAAGAAGAACACATCAAAGATGCCGCTGCATGCCGGACCAAACACCATCATGCCCAAAAGAGTGCCTACCGCTGTCTCGCGTGGTGATGAATCCGCAATGAAGAAGAAGAAGAAAACTTGTTGTGTTGAGCTGGGAGCAAACCTTTTGACCTGTGCACCACACGTCGGCATCTTTCGCGGAAACCATCTGGTCGATTTCTTGGGCCCGGCTGACATGCTGCGGCTTTTCCAAATGAAAGAATGCGTCCATGCATTTGGTCTAGCCGACGAATTCTGTTCCCGTCACGGAAGGCGCTTCCTCCCAACGCAACCACAGCAATGCCCTGAATGCCGTGCTTGCACAAGCTGTGACAGATTGGACACAGAAGGAATCCACGAAAATAGTAGTAGACGAGAAATTGGTACGTTCTACTGCCAGGATTGCAAGCCGTTGTCTCCGAGGGAACAAGAAGCACTGACAGAAGCAGTCAACAATATGAGCGGGGATCGGATTTCGGGTGTGATTCAGATCATCCGGGAAGCCGTGACTATAGATGATGAAGATGAGATTGACTTGGAAATCGATCAGCTCCCCGCCCCTACACAACGAAAGATGTTTAAATATGCTTTCCCTGGTGGTAAAGCCTCTACAGCGGAGGAATGAGGAGGATGGCTATCTAATTTTTGAAGGAACCTGTAAAGATGGAAGTATCAGGGACTCAAGCACACTGAATTGACAATTGATAAATAATGTAGACCGCATACACTGTACGTCATTTTATCACACCAATTGGCTCAAGGGTGACTACTAGACTACTCTAGACTATACTAGCTAGGGATCGAGTGCTGGGAAGATAAGGGACATGATTTGGCTCGTGCCACGGTTGGATTTTCCTACCCTCGTTTCTGCCCGATCTTAATTCTAGCGAGTGGTGCTGAACCTTTGGCAACTAAAACTTGATCTTTTAAAAACGATAAAGTACCATCGCTTCCCTAGTCTAGACCTCCTCACCCACCCTTTGACAACCCGCAAGGGGAGGGCAAGTGTAGAGAGGCGGCGCTAAGGCGGTGCTTATCGGGTTTGAACAGAAAACATCCTGGACTGCACCGGTTCAGTCACGAATTCAAAGAACATCCAAGGCTTTAAAAGGTGTAATTAATTAAGGCCACAGTGATCGAATCGGTGATGATTCTTGCTTTGACAAGGCAACGCAACCAACCGACGGAAGAGTTGCTTTGGTTCATGGCATCACCACATAAACCTAAGGCCGCTCTCTACCCAAGCGACTAAAGTAGGGACTAAAGGAGTACTTTAGCACCTTGTTTAGTCGCAGATTTAGTCCGTAAACTTTAGTCAAGGAGGTGTCTACCCTCCACGGACTAAATCTCGAACTATCCAGTTTAGTCGATATTTTAGTCAAAAATTTAAGCAAAACGTTATCTACCACGATCGACTAAACGTTCGACTAACCAACGTTTTGGATTTCGTTGGTTCATTTCGCTAGAGCCAGCTAGCGAAACTCATCATAATTTCGCTAGCTAGCCTCTTGTTCATTTCGCTAGCAGCCTCTTGTTCTTTATTGTTATTGTTGCTGCACTGATAGACCATGGCCAACACCAAGAAGAAGGCTAGTGAAGAGGCCGAGGAGTCCTTTGTTGGCGAGGAAGAAGAGGAAGAGGAGGTATCGCTGAAAGAAGGAGAGGAAGAACTAGAGGAACACTCTGATGATGATGATGAGGACAGTATCGCCACTGTAGACCTTAAACAGCAGCTTATTGATAAAATCAGTGAACCATTGAGGAGATCTCCTCGGCAGAAGACCAAGGTTACCACCAAGGCTGCCACCGCCAGGAAGAGACATCGTTCTGGCAAAGGCGGCAAAGGCGGCAAAGGCGGCAAAGGCGGCAAAGGCGGCAAAGGCGGCAAAGCCGGAAACAACAATACTAAGAAAGTCAAGAAGACCACCGCTGTCGCTGATGACGAGGGCAAGTCCAAGCGCAAGCGTGGTACGAATTTTGATGATTTTGAGGATCAACTATTGTGCCGTGCCTTCATCAGTGCCACCCAGAGCATGAAGGGCACCGGTATGAAGAGAGGAGATTTCTGGAAGAATCGAGTTGCTCCAAATACAACAAACTGCTCTCCAAGAGGCTGAACCTGATGAAGACGGTGACACTATCTATAAAACGCGAGTCGCTGACCAGCTCCGTCGCCGTTGGAATTTACTTCCGGGACGCTGCCGAAAATCTCATGGCTTGTTACCGTCGGCCCATGCCGAGCACCGTACGGATTCAATTCAGAGGAGGACTAATTGATTTTGCCGTGGAGCTATAAAATGAGGAGAACAATGAACTTTCAATCATCGCAATTGCATTCCCCACTTGACCGAGTGGCCGTCTTTGATCCCCATATACCGAGACAGAAGCTGATCGCAGAATGGATGAGTTGAATGCTGAGCCAATCGGTGTTGACGAAAGCAAGCCGAAAGCCAAAAATACTCGTGATCCAATGGTTTCTTTGCATACCCGACCCACGGCAAAAATACGACAAAATTCAACCGGCTCTTTCCAACTCGGTGCTTCGAGCAACCAGGAACGCAATCAACATTTGGAGTCCATTGCCTTTTCCCAGCAGATGTCTCCGAGGGAGTAGTCCACGTGGAATCCAGAAGTCCAAGATGAAACGGTGGAGCTTTTGATGAATTTGGAAAGATGACGGAGGCCGAAAATTTGTTGGAAGAAACCACAGCTGACGAACAAGCATTCCAGGAGCGGCAGAATAAATTGCGGGATGGGCGACAAAGCAACAGGCGACCAAAAAACAAGCGCTACTCCTCCAACCGTAGTTGAAGAGAGCAAGAAATCTGGCAGCCCTGATTCCTCCATGACAGATCCCATGGCTACTACTGCCACTGCCGCGGCTGCTACTGCGCTGTTGCCAATGGAGAAGTAAGTGGAAAAGGAGTGGCCGATGACAATTCCGACTTGTCCTAATGCCGCCACCGTATATCGACAGGATGACAACAGTGAAACATTGAGCCACCAAAAAATATACCGAGGTTAATTCAATTACTATAGTTTGTGTCCAGTTTTAAATTTACTAGAGCCACATGTAGACGCTCATCTCTGTGATATCCATCAGCGAATGCCACTGTTCCTACGAACCATAGTATCTCGAACACTCTTGGTTGTTCCTCCCAACCAATTCGGGTGGCCCTCTACTAGTTTTTGGACGGTTTGCCTGTCAGCCGGCACATCGATGACAATTTCTCGATCAACTGTAGTGACACTTGGATCGTACTTGGCCCTCACATCTCCATCACCCGATCCACAACACACATGTTGTGGAGAATGAGGCAGGTGTTGACAGGTTTCCGATTTTGCGCAATTCCAAATCCAGGAATGCGAGCCATAATTGGAATTTGGCCTGAATCACACCGTATGCCCGCTCGATGTCCTTCCAGCCGCCTCCTGCCAAGCGAATATTTTTCTCCCAATCCAAAATTGCTCGGATAAAGTCTTGACAAAACGGGAGTATTGTGGGTATATACGTCAACCAAAATAAACATCTGTGGAAATTCTTCATCGCCAATGTCAAAAGGGACGACGCCACCAATAGTCTCGAGATCGGTAAGCTTCCCGCTGATCATGTTTTCCAGCAGAGGCGACATGTCGAAAATTGTTATGTCATTGAGTGTTCCGGCATAGCCGAACGAAGCATGCCAGAAGAATAAATTGTAATCGCACATTGCCTCCGGAACCAGGGTAGGGACCTTTTTCGCTCCTTGGAATGCTCCTTGCCATTCGATTGGGCACTGCTTCCATCGATTGTGCATACAGTCAAGACTTCCAAGCATTCCAGGAACACCGTGGGCCGCCAAGTGAAGATTGGAAATATTTCGTAAATCAGTGGCAGTCGGCAAACCAAGATACTCGTCTTGATACAAATGAGCCAGGATGTCATCAAAGTTACTGCGGCAATCCCTTGCGAAGGTCTGCGACATTTGGAAATAGTCACGGAATGGTTGAGCGGGAACACCGTATGCCAAACATTTCAACGGCATCAATAGACGTGCGTCCAAACATGATACCTTCCGGTCGAAAGCATCAGTGGACCCGCTGTAGAACTCATGACCCGAATTCATGACATCTTCTCTCAATCTCTGGTAACGAGGACGGCTGATGCGGTAGATATCCTCAAATTCCTTGAAATCAAATGTAGGGACCGGTCCAAGATAGTCGTCTAGAATACACTGGAAAGCTCTGGCATGGTTGTATTGCTTCCGAGGTTTCCTTGGCAAAAGACGGTGGTCAACCATGGGCTGTGGTGTGCCATCGTAATCATCCGTGGCCAACATTACAGCGGTATCTGCCATTCCCATGACGATGTCCAAGGCCTCCCTGGAAGAGTCGGAATCCGATGAGGACGACATAATAATAATAACGGCCTAGCTACCACAGAGGTGCCCACCACAGAGGTGCAAAGAGGCTACCGGTACAGTGACTATAAAGACAGTGACTAAAACGGTTGAGTTACAGCTTGGCTTGTTGGGCAAGTAGATGCCTCTGTTGTTGAGGCTGTGCAATGAGGCTGATTGAAGATTGATTCTTAAAGAGTTCTTTTAAAGAAGCTTTAGTCGTTATGTTCGCTCACCGACTAACCAGCCTCCCGTTAGTCGGTGAGCGAACATAATGACTAAAGCCTTTAGTCCGTGGGACGTTTAGTCGCTTGGGTAGACACCACCCTCAGAGACTAAACTATCGACTAAACTACGAAATATGGCTTAGTCGCTACTTTAGTCGCTTGGGTAGAGAGCGGCCTAACAAATAGAACAATGGACGAAGATGATGCGGAATTCCTGATTGAGCAACGGACACTCTTTATCGTGCTGGCTGCGTTTTCTGTAGTAGCACTGTGCCTCTTGATATGCTTCCGAAGATGCGGGAGCGATTGTAAACCTCCGTACATTACGGGCTTTGTGGGGGTCTTCATTATCACCCTTGCATCCTGTCTGCTCTTTTCCTACGGCACCATTGGAGACTACGAAGACAACTTTGACTACTATGGTCCCATGCGAATTGTAGGGGCAGAAGTACAAGTGCGACTAGTGAGCCATGGCTGTGGCAGAGACTGGCGGCAGAGTTGCAGCTTCACCGAGCTGGACATTGGAAAATGCACCACTTGTCAATCTCTGGTGCACACGACAACAGTGACATTGGACTGGGGATATGATTGGGCTTGTCCCAATACAGATAATACTACAATTTGCGAATCTACCACTTTTGTCAAAACTTGTGGGTCCGTGGCGTGTACCAGAGCGGCTCCAGGACCAAGGCAGAGACCAGGGCCTCTGGAATGCTCCGAAGAAGAACATGCCAATGCATCCATCAGCGCCGAGGAATGCACGAGAAGCAAGATTTTTTCGTCCCCAGACGCATATCCACCCTTCAGTCCAAACGAAGACCCCCTTCAAAATCACACATCATGGCCGACTGTCGAACGATATGGAGACTGCGATACCTGTCAAGTGGAAGAGAGCATTCCCAGTCCAGACCTACTGAATGGATTGAAGATATCTGGTCTCTTTTTTCTCTTTTTGGGTGTCGCCGTCATTTTGACTTCGATTTTGATGTGCTATCTACCCACAACAACCTGCTGTGCTGTCAGTGACAAAGCTGCCGTCCTCCAGCGCGTCCGACGAGATGGCTTGACGCTGCGCCTTGCCTCGAAGGAATTGCGCAATGACTTGGAAGTTGTCATGGCTGCCATTCGCCAAAACGGGGGTGCCATTCAATATGCTTCACCCAATCTACAAAACAGAAGAGACATTCAGGAGGTAGCCTTGAAGCAAACGCCATACGCATTTATCCATGTCCCCAAACATCTGCAAGACGACAAACAAGTGGCCCTGCAAGCCGTGCATCAGCATGGGTGGCTCCTTAAGTATGCATCTCCACGCCTTCAAGCGAATCGTGACGTGGTCCTGGCTGCCGTGCAACAGGGAGGAAGAGCGCTGCAATACGCATCGAAAGAACTGCGGGCAGATCGAGAGATTGTGTTGGCGGCAGTGAGACAGCGGGGTGATGCTTTGGAATTTGCTTCCGACGACCTGAAGGATGACCAAAATACAGATCAGAATGTTGTATGGGAAGCTGTGCACACTTCTGGGGAATGGATCTTGAAGAGAAAGAATATGTCCAAGACAATGCTACGAGATCCCAAAATCATAGCCGAGGCCAAGCGAAGAACAGCAGAACTCAAGGCAGGGAGTCGTGTTTGACCAGTACGAGATGTACCGTACCGGTATGGCCAGAGTACCGGTGCTGTATGGGTACCGGTATTGGTGACTCTTCTTTTCGATTATACTCTTCTTTTCGATTATACTTGGTGTCCTGTCAACCAACCTCTCTGTCAGGCACAGATTTGGTTTGTATGAAGCTGGGTCGAACTCGGATATCTGATGCACTTCTGTAAGGGAAGAACCTGCAGCTGCTTTGAGGTGCTCTTGGCGCGAATGCACCGAGTCGAGTCGTCAGCGCTGCTTTCATTTGCTGTACGACGGGCCACGGAGTAGATGGAGACTTGAACACGATTGGTTCTCGGCCCCAGCCCAGCATCTACACCCCGAGTTTCAAAGCCACTACCTACCGTAGCTAGACAGTGCAACCAAAATATGTACTATGTATTGATTATCCCTACAAGAGCCAGAAGATCCAAGGCTGATTAGTGGGGTTGAGTGTGCCCAGGATTTCGCGCGTTACACATGTTTGATGGTCTCTCAATCCAATTGAAATTTAGAATCCTGACTCCATATCATTGGTGAAACTAGATGCAGCGACGATGTCGTGTGCAGCCCAGCCGTGCTCGCCACCAAAGGGCTCAGGGTCGAACAAGCCGTCCGCATCCTCCAAAATCTTCATGGCAGTGTTCAGGATGGAGCTGAGCCTGGTTGCAGTAGTGTTGGTGCCTACACTGGGCTTCTCGTGGGCACTCGACATGCCAAAACATGTCAGATCCATCGAATCCATTCCAGAACTAGTTCCGAAATTGGGTGTGCTTGACTGTGGCAATGAAGGGAGATTGAAATCTGCAGAGGGGCCCGGAGGGTTGACCAAAGTTCCGCGGTTTGCTTCTTCCCTGTGACTTGTATCCGTATTTTGGAAGAGTTGAACAAGTGTCATATTGTTGTCTGTTTGGCTGCTGAAGCCACCGTTGCGCCCTTGGACCGAGTCTGAGTTCATGGTGGAGATGAAGAGAAATGAACGAATACAGTTTCGGTCTGAACTAACTGTGGGAATAGCTGGCTAGGGAGCGCTATTACAGCTATAGCTAGATTATGAGAAGTTTGTGGCAAAGAATAATCGAGCTATAATAGTAATAACCTCTGAGCAATCCGCAACCAGCACGTGCAAGAGGAAACGTGATGGTTCTAGTGAGCTGCTTTGGGATGTCTCTCTAAGACTCATTTTGGCCATTATTGAAAGCAATTTCCACCAAGAGAGAACTCGAGAGAAGAGTACTAATCTACTACTTTCTGCTGGCACATACAGTACAGCACTTCAAAGCCTATGCTGGAACCAAACAGTTAACTGTTGCTTCAAAGCGGTTCGATTATGGTGGTATTCACCCATTTCCATTCACACAAGAGCCAAGATCCAGGCAGGGTTCGCTAACCTGATAGATTTGAGGAATAGGTTACTAACCTATACACTAACCTGGTAGAAAATTGCACTAGGTTAGTGTATAGGTTACTAACCTGATAGAATTTTTGTAGTAGGTTAGTGTATAGGTTAGTGTCAGGTATTTATCAGGTAACCTGTAGGTTACCTGATAAAGTAACCTGGTATTGTCATAGTAAGTTACCTATTACTGTATATAAGGTGTTTTGCCTTGTTAGTTAGTTAGATGATAGTTGATAGGGTGGTTAGGCATCAGAGATAGTCACCCATGACGACTCGTAGTGCCACCCAAGGGTTAGTCAACTGCAGAATGCGAGGGTGGCTAGGTAACAGAGATAGTTACCCTTGACAACTGCAGATTGATAGGGTGGTTGGATAACAGAGATAGTTACCCTTGACAACTGGAAGGTGTGGGTCTTCAGTGGTAGTGCCACCCAAGGGTTAATCTACTGCGGAATGAGGAAAATGGCCCCAAAAACGGTGAAAAGTAACCTGATAGAAAACCTGGTAAGTAACCGGTACACTAACCTGATACAAGATCGTATTAGGTTAGTGTATCGGTTACTAACCTGATAGATTTTTTTTAACAGGTTAGTGTAAAGGTTACTTTATCAGGTTCCGGTTACCGGTTCTTTTGGAAGTAACCGGTAACCTAATATATCAGGTTAGCGAACCCTGGATCCAGGAGTGCTTCAATAAATCATCAAAATGACTGGTCTGGGAGTGGTGCTTCTGCTGAAAGCTGAGAGGGAAGACACACTGCGGTACGGATGGCTGTGCCGATCCAGCTATCCAGCTTTCGACTGAATGTTTCCGATTGCAAGTACAGTACCGGTAGCATGAGAAATGAGATAGATGCAAAGATACGAGCTCTCGCACTAATGCATTAATTTTATTTATGCAAGACAATGCCTCAGTGCCAAGAAAGTTGGGTTGCCAAAAACCCAAAAACAGAATCTGTTTGTAAACAGATAGCTCCAGCAACTTACCAACTAACTTACTATTGCTGGCACTTGATGCCATTCCAATTCGGTAGCCACAAGTAATTAATTTTAAAATTGAAGTGTATAAGGGGATGCATGGACGGTGAAGTCGCATCCCTTCAAGAATCCTTTGCAACTTCATAGAGCTCATCATAGAGGCAGAGAACGAGAGAACCCCAGTAAAAATAAGAAGAGCTATCAGAAATCAGAAGTAGTGTTTTATCACCAAGTTGCACCAGCAAAACGAGCTCGTGTCCTTAAAACTTTTAACAGCCTGCCAGCAAGAACGAGTACTGAATACAGTACAGCGTACTTAGCTGGTGGAAGTAGAAAGAGGAGTTAGAATTTTGTTACTTATCTGTGTCCTTGTCTGCTGCCGAAATCCATTTCGGTGGCCAATATCAGACGCTTGCTAATTAAAAAATCTGGTTCAATTCTTGCACGTCCCCCATATTTATTTTGATCTCGCAGCAATCGCTAGCTAGCCAGACTAATGTCTGTTGTACCGGTAGCACTCTAGAGTCCAGAGCTTCTAAACCAGCGCTAGCTAGAAATGTACAGTAAAATTAAATAAAACAGCGAACAGCTTGGCTGCAACAAGCGTACCGTACCGTATGGCTGTGAGTAAAAGCAACTTCAACAGGTTTTGCCATCGCCTTCCACAACATTCACTGGTTGTTTTGGGGGAACAGGATCCCAAAGCAGCCCAAAGCTTTGCCAATCAGGATCCTTCATTCTCAGTCGAAAACGAAAGGCATTCTTTTGGACTTTGGACGCGGACTGTACGTACTGGTACCGGTACTTTCAAACACCTGTTAATTAAAAGCATCGTGAAAGGCTTTGGCACAAGGCCGTGAACTGGGACTCACAGCAACTGCAAATTTTGCACCCAGCCGCACTCTGGCGACTGCTGTCCCTGACAACAAGCAGATGTCTCTCCACAGCTGTGGTACTACCGGTATGAGAGGAGAAAGCGGCAGATTTGTTGAACTAATGAGTGAATCGAATCGAATCGAATCGAATCGAATCAGAATCGTTCAATCCTCGCACCTCTTCCATCACGCCACTGCTCTGGCAATGTTGCTCGAGTTTGTAGAGCAATGCCCGGAAGCAAGAATGCTGAAGGAGACCAGGAATGATTGATTGGAACGATCTTCTACATCGGGCACAGTATACGGGCAGAAGAAGAAGACGAATCCATTCATGGGCCCGTACTACCTGTAAGCAACCGAAAAGGCGTCATGGTACCCAATCGGCACATTTAATCATTACCAGTGAGCATATGTAGCTCCACCCTTTGAAGCATCTGCAACCATCCACCTATTTCCAGGGAGACTACCTAGGTACGTGTTGACTGGACTGGCCTGTTGGCTCATGCGCTCGATCGTTTGGCAGCAGTCTTCCTCAGCTCTTCCTCCATGTCTTGTGGCTGATTGCGGCTTCTTTTCTGCATTTTTGGAGGGAAGGGGGAACTCCTCTTTTGCTCGGCAATGGTGTTTACGAGAGTACCGGTACAACCTACTTTCATCCTCCCCGGCCCGTTCGTTCATGCACTGCTATTACAAATGGTACGGAGAATTGAGACAAACACCTTTTGGCAGCTCTTGTGGCAATCGCCATCTACTGGTGAACATGGTTAAGCTAGCAAGGACGTGGATGGCCCCTTTGTAACCCTGCATGAAAATTCACAATGGTAACAGGCTCAACAGCAGTTGCATGCCCTTGGGTCGAACTGGTGCGAGGAATCTAGAAAATGGCAATTCTTTATTTATCAAGACAGTCGTACCGGTACGACCTTTGGTAAGAATCGATATCCTCCACAACAGAACTGCCTTCATGTCTGGTTTCTCAGTTAGGCCTCAAAATCATCTTCCGAAACAATGCTTAGGGCTTGGTGGATGATCAACAACAACCTCTGCTCCCTCGTGAGAATTTGCTTCACCGCAGCGGATACAGCCTCCTGATTTTCTCTCAAACTGGATGCCTCTTCGCCCGAATCCTTGCAACTTGGAACCTCCAATTCTGCCTTTTCCTTCGAAAGTCGCCTTTGCCTCCTTGCTTGTTAAAAGGATCCATGGCGGTAGCTTTCAAGAAGAGTCACAGGCAGCTTGCAATTGCAACAGCTTGTTTCCAGTTCGTCCAGCCCAAGTTCGATTGCAAAGTGACTTTGGTGCTGTGAGAGCCAAGAGCAATGGTTCAAAAAGGAATTGGTGAAGCCAAGGAGTGTGTCTAGCGGTGGGATCCGCGTTATTTCACGTCAGCGTTTTCGGGTCATCGTGTCAAGGCTGTTCGATTGAAGATGTCTGGTTCCCTTCGGCATTACGTCATAATTTTCTGTGGGGTCCTGCTACGGACCACATCGGATTGCGGGCTGCGGCTGATGCCCAATTGCATGTTGATGCGAGAAGTAGATCTAAGTTTTGGATTGTGAGATGGTCTGACTCAGTGTGTACCTTCGGAGTGCTTCTAACTGGCCAGCTAGCTCCTGCTGCCCTCGCCTTTGATGGAAATGATCGTTCATAAGTTTGTAACTAGCTAGTCTTGAACATTGAGCCAGCCATGTAGGTAGCAAACCGATTCTGCCTGGAAGCCAAACTGTTTATAGAGGAGTTAGAGCCATGCCTGGTGGTCAATGTCTCCTCAGTGCTAGTGGTAGACCCTATAGTACATGTAGGTGAATCGAATCGTTTGCTTCATTGTATCTCCTGTCCGTGCGGTACTGTACCGCAACTTCAAACCATCCATTCTCTCTTTGTCGCTTCGTTGAGGGTATGGAAGGTAGAGGAAGCAACACGCCAAGACACCCTGCTCTGCAATTCACGAGCGTCCACGAGCTGTCTTCGGAAACGTCTACATTCGTTTACGCAGGAAAGAAGGAAATTAATGCAATTGTTATGTTTTATGTAGAAATTAACTTCTAGCTAGCTTCTGAAGAAGCACCCATCATGCGGTTTGGTCTTTGTAGTTCAAAATTAGGTAGTCTGTTGCGTACCGGTACATGTGGATGCATGCCCTTGGTTCATTGCCCTTGTTCTCAGAAATCGTCAAAATCCTTTTCCGAAACAATACAGAGGACATCTTGAACAATCAACAACAACCTCTGCTCCCCCGTGAGAGCTGGCTCCACCACAGTGGTGTGGTCGGGCTCATGATGTCCTCCCCTATTGGAGGCATCCTCGACCGAATCTCCTCCTCGCCCCTTGACATCTGTCCTCTTCTTCAAAGGATTCGAGTCCTCTGGTTGAGCATCACCTTGTCGCTTGTTGGAAGGAGAGGCCTTCATGGGCACGAAGAAGCAACTATCGCAAAGAAGAATTGTTTGAAATGGACCAAGCAAGGGCGTTTTTTGTGAGTGGAGGAGAAAGGTCGATTTTGGTGTTTTTGTGTTTTTATTAGCAAGCTAGATCCCAGCAGCCTCATTGGTCCATTTTTCTTTAAAGTACGTTAAGAGCCACGGTGTTCTGAGTAGTAGTTTTACGGTAGGATAGGTGGCTACCGGCGACTCACTTCGGCAAGGGATTACATGTACTCGAACTATTTCCTCATGACTGGATGCTGCAGCATGATACCGGTACATTGTACTGCGGAATGCCGGACGATGGACGTTTTTTTGAGACCCGGATTTTTCAAGGTTGTGAAACGTGGACTATTTTGCGCGCTCGATTCCACGCAGCGCTTTGCCATCAACAAAGATAATAATTGTTGTCGACCGCTACATGTATGTCATACAAGCAACAACGAAGCGCAGCTTCAGGTCACATCACATCAGTGGCTCCAAATCAAGTACTAGTACACAAAACAAATATAGGACTGAGTATCATTAACACATCACAGTTAGCGGCCGGACAAGTCAGAGCACCATTCAAAGTACAACGTTCTGCTGGTGTCAAGGCAACGGTAATAAGAGCAACAAGGATGCTCTACTAATCGAGGGCACGGAAAACGATGGTGGCAAGTCCTCGATGGCGGAAGCGCTGGCGTCCCTCCAGAAAACGCTGGAAGTGATACAGCAAAAAAACGAAAAAACGCTGGAAGCGATGCAGCTAAAAGACGAAAGGGTGCGAAAAAATTCCCTCAAAGTGGCAGGGACCTATTTCGCGACCCACAAGGAGATTTGGGGGGAAAACGGGTCAAGGTTGGGCGCCAAAGCACTGAAGTTAATCCAGAGTAGAATCATTGGAGTCCTACGTTCCTCAAGCACTGCCAAATGCCTTCTAAGGAAGACATAAAAGAGGAAATTCACATTCACATACCCAGGCCAGCGTGGAGGACCGACGAAGCATAAAGGGTATTCTTTTTTTCTCCCCAGGCCTCGTTCCACAATATCTTCTTGACACCGGCGGCTGGGAAACCAAGTGATAGTTCTTTTACGCATCGCTCTCTGGCACATTCGGCCTCCGCGAGTCCAGAGTGCTCGGTTTTCTGGACCTATTTATTTTCTAGAGCTATTGACTGGCGAAAACAAAGTCACACCAATGTTGGAAAACGAAGACGCAAAGCTACAGCGTTTCTACACAGTTCATGGTCTTTGGAATTTCAGCATGGCAGATCTTGGTGATTTCCATACCTATGAATACCAGGGACTCAAGAATTTGCCTCAGAACTTGCTGGCCTTGCCACCCAAACACGAAAAGTTTTACGATGGGACCAGAGGTGACAACCTCATTATCGTTCCCATCGTTGACTTGGACCCATCCCGCGATCCAAATGGATATTGTGGTATCAATTCCCAGTTCGATCTACTTGTCATTGGGAGATCACAGGCTGTCTACAACTGGATTTACAATGGAGAAGTCCCTTCAAGTGCAAGCCCTTATTCCCTAGAGCTAGACAAATCAGTTGAAGACGCGGTGCCGGAGGAGATAGAAATTGCGAGAGCCTTCTTGGAAAAGTATGCAGTGGCCGCAGCTCATCTTGGTCTCCAATCCTTGAAACCTGATCTGATCTCGACCGAAGAAACTTGATCGCAGGGAAAATCCGCCTATGATGCTCTTTGGGTTTCGAAGGTAGTTGGTCGGACTCTTGCTCATAAGAAGCAACCAGAAAATGGGTCGCAGGAGTCTGGAAAATCAGCGGCTTCGGTAACAACTGGGAAAAGATCGCAGGGATCCAAAAACAATCTACTGGTCAAAAATATAGAGAGAGCAAAAACAGCCCTGGAGAGTGTTGAAAAAGACGGCGTTTGGGTGCCCACTTCACAAGCCTCTTTCGAAGGTCGCAAAGTTATGAAAGTCAAACTGTCCAAGTATTTGGAAACTTGTGGCCTCAAAAGTGAGCTTTACCCAGCTTGGAGCTTGCTAGGGTTCAAGGCTCTTGCCAACTTTTTGGTCTACGCTGATCAGCCATTTATTGCTGGCTGCGACCCACCACGCAACGACCTCCATGTTGCGTCTATAGAAGTCAACATGGTGAGCGATCTCGAAAGTGACCTGTCCGACGATGAGGCATCTGTTTGGAACGAGTACAGCAGTGGAGACGAACGCGATGACCAGTCTAGGAAGGTTGTGTGACCAGCCCCCTCAAGGTTTCGCCCGACTGCTGCTGTCGCGACACCAGAAAAATAAATGCAGAACAATACAGGGAGCGCCAGTACCCAATTTTATGCCGCCGCCCTCTGCTTCTGATGGAATGGGAGGCATGATGATGCCACCCATGAAGGGTACGAAGATCAGACTCGCAAGCTTGATATTGGGAGTTGGGTAACACGTCGTGTGAAAATCAAGGGGGGATGGTGTGAACAGAGAGAAATGTACAAGGAATCAGTGGCACGGGAACAATGGAAGGGCCAAGCGTATGCGCAAGCATTGCAATCTTGCATAAAAGGCAATCAATTCTTGTTTAATATCCTGTAGTCCAAAGGGTCCGAAAACGTCGACCCTCGGTCCGAAATCGTCGGCAATTTGAAGTCGTCGGCCCCCACAATCAAAGCAAGCAAGGACACCATGAAATCAAATTGAAGTGGTTTTGACAGGCATCAGTCCCAAAAGTGCAGGGGTGCAACAATGGTCTGGTCTCCAAAGGAGGGAATCTCTCTCTCTCTCTCTCGGCAACGTGTCTGTCGGCTCCGCAATGGTATTTACGTCAGCAATTCTATTCTTGATTGTCGCCGAATTTCCTTCACCTTAGACGTTACACTGGCTGAGATGATGACAGGAAGACAGGAATTCAATCAGTGACCTTCATTCTGGTGGAATCGAAAACTGCATTGGGGGGAATCTCCAAAGTTGGTGTGACACCCCCTCTATTGTTGCACCCTAATCAAACGATGGTTACGAGAGCGAGCCGAGACTGTCCATGGCCGCTGGACCACATTCCGCTCTGCTGGCCAGGAAACGTGAGTTGCTAGCACTGTACTTCTAGTGATTGCAACGAAGGTATCCCACCTTTGCGAGCGTGAGCGCAAGCTCCAGCAGAAGCTGAAGCGGCTTTTCGTAAGCCCGTACGCCCCCGCTTCAGAGGAGCTAAAAGACGGCGTGGATAGGCGGGGACAAGGGATCGGTGGCTGGATGGGTAAACTGCAGCGGTTGGTTGCGCTGCTCGGAACCACGGCCATGGGCGATGGCTGCCTGAAACATGCGAACACAACAGCGCATGTTGGGTTTTGACCAGCCACGAGTTGCATTACGACATGTCTGGTCGAATGGTGCTGGTATTGACGTCCCACTCTAGAATCGACGCCTTGCTTTTGTCATCTACCAAATGGTATCGCCAATCTGGGACTACGAGCGTGACTTTGGGTTCATTTCTTTGCTCGAGCAAGTAATGCACTTCTTGACCCTTCTTGAAATGGGGCGACAAGAGTGCAGCCATTTGAGAAAAGGTGCTACACGGTGAAAGCACCACTTTTCGCGCTTGACTGATGGTGCAAAAGGCATCGATTGGGTCCTTGCCAGTGATAATGGTCCCATTGTAACGCTGTTGTAGCTCCTTGACCAGTGCAATCCCCACATCGTCGGGTTGACAAACAATCCATAAGACTTTGTCGTTTTGCTGCTGCTGGCTAAAGAAGATTCGATCCAATAGTTCCACATAAACGCTGTTCTTGAACCCCAGATCCAGCTGTTCGAAATATTGAAAGTTTCGAATATGAATCACAATGGCATTGTCGGGCGGTATGTGATGACAGCATTTACCAACATTCATTTGAAGGACGCGTCGTATGAGATCCATGTGAGGTTCCATCCATCCATAATGCACGTAAAACGCATTCAAGTGGACCGTCCGTACACCACTGTACGGTTGGATGGTTTTGACTTCTTGAAGCTTGTTTTTGATAAACGTCTTGTTGCCCGGATGTCGCAAGGCATCCACCAAGTACTCTGCCCACCCGCCGGGTGCGTTGTAATCAAATTCCCATTTACTGTTCAAGGACAAGGAGGTTCCTTCGTCGCGAGTCACTTGCAGCCACTTGTCGTACATACCCCCATTGTCTCGATGGGGTAGCATTTCGTAAAAATGTTGCAGATTGTTGTCGGGCCAATGGGAATTGGTCAGTTCCGATATCCGCATGTACCGGAACCACTCCAATTCACGGGGTCCAATGGTCGCAGTCTCGGGCGATCGAGTGTTGCCTTGAAGCGCATTCGGGAAACATTCGTGGGCATTGGGGAGATCGTACAAAAAGACACCCTGCCACCCTTCCTTGAAAATAATGGGCCAGCAGATATCTTCGGATAACCGATGCGCCAGTGCCACTTGAAACAAATTGTTGGCTAAACGACCGTGTAAATTGGCAATAACGACGCCATCATTTTGGGCACAATTCTTTTGTTTGGTGGCTTTTTTCTTCTTCTTTTTTTGGCGTTTGACACCATTGGGAGTGTATCGAATGACGGGTATTTTCAGGGGACGATTGATCATGGACACAAAGGTCGAAGAGATGACCACGGCCGCCAATAGGAATTTCCAGCCAAAACGGCGTCCCGTAAAGCAAGAATCGGAAGAGCCAGTACATGTAGTGCTAGACGCCCCCTGATGTTTCGACGAGAGCTTCTCCCGTAACTTTAGCTTCATTCGGGCCATGTTGTCTGGTTGCTGCTGTGGTTATTTCTGTCCAGCCAAACGTATTGTATCCTTGCAACTGAGAGTTCACTGATTCATTCAACTTCCAGGTTGCACTTTGTATCACACAAGAAGAACTACCTAGCAATTGAACACCTGCCTCGGGTCAACACTAGCTAGAAGATGGAACACATGGTTATGATATCTTGTTCTCGGTCTGAAAAGGCAACTGGCAAAAAATTGAGGAGACTTTTTCGAAAATTGACCGCCGATTTTGGTCTCGTGGCTTCTTTTTCCAGCAGAGCTGCAGAAGCACCGGTTTGAAAGCCCAGGCAAGGCCATGCCAAGCAAAATTACGTCTCATGGAGACGACGCTCCTTTTAGTTACCCCCTCAGTTGCACTCTGAAATCGATTGGCTCGCGTTTACTGTGTAAATTAGTGTACCCGCACTTCAGTTGCAGAATCAACGGTCATGTGTATCCATAAGTAACAGGTTCTCGTTCGATAAAAATAGATCCATTCGTGGATAAAGGAACGGTTGAAGTTACTAAGGTTAAAGCTAATCAATACCGGTACTCCTACCGTATCCTCAATCTTATCCTCGCACCTCTCCATGCTACCGGTACCGGTCTGTTCACTTGCTTCGTCGCAAGTCCATCATTGAAGGTGCAGCACTGACTTCTCTCCCTCATTGAATTCCTATGGTAAACAGGAGAGAAATACCAGCTTGGCCAACAAGAGTACTCCTCGTCGGTTGAATCGATCGACGATCGAATCGATCGCAATGAGGTAAGCCTATTATCAAGAGTGTTAATTGAAGGTACATCGCTGACTTCTCTCCCTCATTGAATTTCTATTGTAAACAGGAGAGAATTCCAAGCTCGGCCATCAACAGATGAGTTGTTTTAATTATTCGAATCGAATCAATCGGTCGCACCTCTACTATCTCTACTATCAAGCCTCACTCAAGCCGGCTGTCTCCGGTGCAGAAGCGAAAGCCATCCCTCATTGAATCCTATGGACCATGGGATGCCAGTCAGTTCTCGGCCCATGACGACCAAGTTGGTGCAATTTGAAAAGCAAGAGTAAGTCTCCGGTCGTCTGCAGTTGAGCACAGAAAACAAAACTCATATCTATTTGTTGTTTTCTCTGCTGCACTGCTGACGGCCGAGGAATTACCATTGTCGCGGTCCAACGAACGATTGATCGCTCCGGAGAACAAGAAGAGGAGAGGCTACCACTACGGAGGAAACTGTTAACTCCAGCCCTACCAACAGTCTGAACGGATCGTCGTCGAGTCATTGAATGGCAACATGAGGAGGCTGCACGACAACACACAAGAGAGTGGATACTCCTACTGGATTCACCCCTTCAGTGTTTGGTTGGTGAATCGTGTGTCGGTACCCACTTTCCTGTATGCACAAGTCCTCGGGCGAACGACTTGCTTCTTTCGTACGATAAAGATAGATAGATAACTCGTAAGATAATAGATCATCGATTACCGACCAATAGACCACTCCTTTCATTAGATAGACAGCTTATAGATCAATAGGATTGACAATATTCGGTTGTGATATATTCGTCATAAGGATCCAATGCGAGGTACCAGTAACGGAGTGTAGCGAGCAAAGTGTGTTCGGTACTGTTGCCACTGTCACCGATTGATGTAACTCTACGGTAACTGGCTACAATGGCTGGATTGACAATATTCGGTTGCACATGCATGTATTCGTCATAAGGATCCAATGCGAGGTACCGGTAACCGTAGCGAGCAAAGCCGAACTTTCGGTACTGTTGCCACTGTCGTCGATGTAGTTAGACCGCAGCCGGCTACAATGGCTGGATTCATAATGTTCGGTTGTGCATGTATTCGTCATAAGGATCCAATGCAAGATACCGGCAACGGAGTGTAGCCAGCAAAGCGGAACCTGAGTGTGTTCGGTACTGTTGACACTGTCGCCGATGTAACTGTACGGTAGCGGGCTACAATGGCTGGATTAACAATATTCGGTTTTGTGCATATATTCATCATAAGGATCCAATGCGAGGTAACCGAGTGCAGCGAGCAAAGCCGAACCTGAGTGTGTTCGGTACTGTTGCCACTGTCGCCGATGTAACTGTACGGTAGCCGGCTACAATGGCCGGATTAACAATATTTGGTTTTGTGCATATATTCATCATAAGGATCCAATGCGAGGTACCGGTAATGTAGCAAGCAAAGCCGAACCTGAGTGTGTTCGGTACTGCTGCCACTGTCACCCATGTAACTATGGTAGCCGGCTGCAATGGCTGGATTGACTGGTACCGTATTCGTCATAAGGATCCAAAGGGATACAGGAGACGAGCGCTGAAAAAAACCAAATGTTTGTAAAGTTTAGGGTTAAGGCTGATATATTGCGAGAGGCCCAAGTGGGGTTCACCGCTCCTTCACGTTAAGGCCTAAAAGGTGAAGTACGCTTATGTCCTCAGTGATTGTTAACGTTCTAAATGTAGTAGCGTACGGTAGCGGTGTTTACCACACCTGTACCGGTACCTGGTACTGGTTCATGCGCGACAGGCAATATGTACCGACGGAAGAAGAAGGGTAGTAAAGGTAAATCTATCACAGCAACAAAATCAGGAAAACACGCATCTACCTGAATTCCAGAGTTCCGACTCAAAGCGCCAGCCAGGAGGCAATCGAGAAGACGAGAGATCGTATTTAGATGGACCTGGCTGGAGGGTGTCAAATCCATCATACAATTAGCAAAACGCGGAACCAAACCTACCAAAAAATGATGGAGGGAGATTTCGAAACGAGAGCACTTCACTTTTTGCAGTCGGAGATTGAGTTGCAAAGATATCAGAAAATCAGAATATCTTGTTGACAGACACCACCAATCCAGTGCATTCACCACAAGCAACAACCACCATGATGACATCTCCTACCTTTCTACTGCTCGCGACTCTCCTTCTCTATCTTCCATCCGTATCGGTTGCGAACTATTGCTCGGGTGGAGGCACCGTCAACAGCTTGGCTCCTGGCCAAAAACAGCAGTTTACTTGCTCGGGGACGTGTTATGCCTGTCTGGTGTCATACACGGTATCCATCAACCCTTCCGCCACTCATACGTACTATATGAATTTTCTGGACAATGGTGGAAATTACATCTTGGACGCTACATCCACAACGCAAGGTGCTACATCCGGAGGTCCTTCCTTGTTTGGAGACGGCGATGGAAAATCGGATTTGCAGCTCGAAATCGAATGTGCCAACTCTGCTGGCAACTGCGACGGAATGTCCGTCTCCTTTGGATTTGTCAATTGTGCTTGTGCGCCAGACTTGTATCTCCATTCCAGTTGCTCGGGGACGCGCGATGCCGACTGTCGCACAGAGCCAAAGACCCCTTCCAGCATTTGTTTCTCGGGAGACACCACGGTTCACGTACAAAAAGAAAAAGACTCGGTGGTGGTACCGGTGCCAATGAAGGATCTACAGGTTGGCGACCGTGTCCTCACCAATAGCAACGAGAAGGATCCCTACATGCCCATCTACATGTTTGCCCATATTGACAAGACGGTTCCCACGGAATACCTACAGATTTACACCACAGCTTCCATCACAACAGCAATGCCCAATACAAATTTCTCCATGTCGGCTCCTTTGGAGATCTCGGAGGATCACATGGTCTATGTGGTGGCCAAGAATGGAAAGACAACCGGTCCAGTTCCGGCCGTTTCCCTCAAGGTCGGTGACCTTTTGCTTCAGAAAGCATCCCAGGGAGAAGAAGAAAAGCAGGCGGCAATGGTGACTATGATCCGTCACGTCACTCGGCAAGGCTTGTATGCTCCACTGACACCGGATGGGACCATTGTGGTCACGGACGAGAAGCTTGTCGCTTCCACCTATGTGACTGTCGTTCAAACTCCGCCAATGCCATTATTGTTGCACCAAGCTGATATGGTCCATGTGTGGCTCAGTCCTCTTCGAGTTGCGTGCCTCCTTGGCGGGGAGTGGCTGACGGGGACCCTCTGTGAGAATAACCACAACGAACAAGGCATGCAGTACTTGGTAGCGTTGGGGTTGGATTTTGCAAAGTTCATGGACAGTCGTGGTCAAGCCACTCGACTCCTGCTAGTTCTCTTGTCCGTGATTGTGACGGGGCCATTCCGAATCCTGGAGTTGGCCCTCGGTCCGTCTTACTGGAACTACAGCAGTAGTGGAGGCCTACCGCTTCTCTTTCTGATCGTTGCGGTGTCTTGCGTCATGTTTCGTCGTACTACTGGAGGACGACATGGCACCCAAAAACGCCGAGGAGAAGAGTAAAAACGGAGATGAATGCTAGTTGATCTTTGGCGCAATTGCGGCCCTTCGATGGGCATGCTGCAGTTTGTAGCTTTGTGTACATACATAATAAGATGTGATGAATATGTTCGTAGCTTAGATAGATGTTTGAACAAGCCTTCCCAGCTAGACAGAGTATTTTCAAAGCGCAAAATCTATGTTTCTGATTATTATCTCCATAGGCTGTCAGTTTGTTTGATTTTGATCAAACTTCACCTACCAAGCTCCTCCAATAAACATATCATGGTTGCAAGGCTGTTGTCATTCTAAAGGATTGAAATTTGCCAACCAATCTTCCGTGTCTCCAGAAAGATTGGACAAAGTCCGGCCACAAGCTGAGTAAAAATTTCAGGAAACGAACCCTTGCTGCTATGCTGTTGAAACCACAAAAAGTGGACCAATTGGGGTTGGTGGCTTCCGGTGAGACCATGTTTCTTTCTCAAAGGACAATGAACATTCTTATTGCTGCTATGATGCATAGACAAAGGGTTGGGTGGTCGTGTCCAGTGTGCAAAGATGCAAAGATGGTCGCAAGGATACTGGACAGTAGCTGATAATGGCATTTTCCAAGTAAGAACATTGACTCAAGCAATTTCGAAGCTTACGTAAGCGTTCATGGTGTATATTGCGTCAATGAAGCGGAGTGCAGCGCCGGTACCGGTAGTAGAAGAAAACGAGAGCGACAATGGCGTGTGCTGCACCTGTTCCTCCCCCGCCATTGCTATATTGAGTGCATCCTGGACTTGAACTGGGGGTTGTCCTGTGGAAGGAGCTGGGAGAACAACTAGCTAGGGCTGTCACTGGCTTAGAAAACAAGATGGCAAAATGAATTTGCTAGGATGCAAATCAGCGCCATGAGACCAGTCCACCAAACAAGAAGTAGCTAATGGTCCCTTCAATGGTGGGGTACCCGTAGCCCTCCAGTCTCAGCCCAGTCTCAGGCCGTCCGAAAGACCCATCCCTCAGGTCATTCCAAGATGAAGCATTGATCAAGTCCTCGTCACTTCAAGACTACGATAGCTAGTCTTGACAGAAGATACGGGCTTCCCAATGCACGGTTGGAGGAGCTGTGGATTGTCAGCTTGTGAGCATTGTGGATTGTGGATGTGTGAATGGCCAGCTGATGATGTTCTCTTTGACACATTCACGGCAAAATGCATGGTTATGCATAAATCCTTTGATCTCTGTGCAGGCACTTTTTCAGTGCCTGCTCCCTTTTTTATCAAACAGGATTTAACACGGCATAAATCTGAGACATTGGAGCATGGTGCTTTATGTCCCCTGCTTCCTCATGTGAGAGCTGCACTTTGAATGGTTTAACACCGCATCATCTTGAGTTCGTGCCTCGGGCATTTCAGCGTCGCATAGATTATTGTGGAACGTCCTGCCACCGATGTTTCCAATCTGAGACTGTAGCACTACAGTACAGTTCCACAGTTCCATACTACTGTACTGAGTGCTTACTTCGTCAGGTACAGTACGTAATACGTAATGACTTCATAGCTAGTACGCAAGACAGTTGTGTTCACACTGAAACTTCCACATCGGTACAGTGCAAAGTGCAAAGGCCTCTATCATCCGATATCATAAGCGGACCATCGTCTCCAAGAGCAAGTAGCGAGCGTACTATTAATAGTATCTTCTCACAATCCAGCGCGGAGAGAGTGAGATCGAGAGATAGAGCTTCCAGCGAGAGCAAGAGGAAAACAACAACAACCAATACCCATGATGAGCACCCTCCCGTTTCTACCTGCCAACCTCACCCACCTTGTGTTTGTGGTGGATCATGCTCCAGGTCACTCCTTCCAACCAGAGCCGCCAAGACAAAGAATGAGACGGTCTACTACAAGTAGCAGACAAAGAAGCTCCGTGTCTTCCAAGAGTGACGAAATGGATAGTAGCAACTTTAGCGTCAGCAGTGCGGCCAGTACTGGTAGTAGTGGCTTGGAGAGTTGTTGTCTCAGTATCAACAGTGGTGATGCCAGCATCCAGCGGGCGACCGTGCCGCACCGTGGCAGCCCAGGTATGAAGAGCGCACCCAAAAAGCCGCGCAGAAGAAACACCCCTCCAGCAGGCCTGGAGGCTAGTACCATGGAGGACCATCAGAAACCACAAAGACGAGGATCCATGGAGTGTCATCAGAAGCAGCAAAGGCGAGGATCATTGGCCCGTAGTAAAGTTTCGCACATGGGCACTTCGTCTTCCATCCACAAGAGCGGTCTCACATTCTGAGAGTGCAGCAGATGGATTATGATGCATGTACATATTGGTCCAACAGGTACCGGTACGGTACACCGTTGACCGTCGACCGACCGGATCTAGCCAGCTACTAGCTGGCGTGAGGTAGATTCGACTGCTTGGGCTTTACACAACTAAAATGGAAGCAAAAGAAAGGGATTTGTGGTTTGACTTCGAAGTTTACCGTACATGTACCGACTTAGTTGGAGAGTGCCGTGCCGGTACCGATAGAGACGACCACAGTAAAGAAAGTTTGGGTACCGGTAGATGGGGCTTCTTGTTTTCCTAGAATTGGTGCCAGCCTCCAGCAATTCTAAAGATCTGGATGGAACGTCCCTCTGCAGTTTCTAAAGACATAGATAGATAACGGGTCGAAGCATCTAGTAGTCTTAATGACAAGCCTCTTGAACGTGAGCTGCTTCCGCTCAAGCGGCTGTGTTCCTGTAGCTCCGGAGCTTAGGATTGCGGATTTTCATTGAGGGTACACTCGTTGCTTGCAAAGACTTGTTGGGTTGAGCCCCAGTGCACTCCTCAGTCTCTTCCTGGCACTGCCGCATGATCTTTGCAATGTCTCGCGGGTCCATTTTGGAAATGCATTCCATAAACTCCCTTGTAGACCAGGCACCTTTTCCTTTGTGGTTGATTCCAATTGGTCCTCCACAGCCTGTCGTATTGCTTGGGGACAAGACACGCCTCAGTCTGCAACCTGTCTGCTCCATTTCAGGCTCATCGGGACCGCAAAAGACCACAACTTCCAAACCCAGCAACTGATCGGTGCGAACAGTGTTGTCTGCACGAGTAGACGTGGTATTTCCCATTGTTTGAATATTGTTTTTTTCTTGTTTGTTTGTCTACTGTAGTAGGTCGAGCTTTGGATTGACCATTGTGAGACCAAGGGAAAACTGATTTCAGTTCAAATGCAGTATGCAGACGAAGCGAGGAAGGACACAAGAAAGGCCTAAAATGAGTTAGCATCAATGTCAGCATAAACTGTAAAGCTACTGGTACCCCGTGCCTCGAAGACAATCAAGCTCGCTAGCTAGAGCTCTCGCTAGTACTGACTTCAGTTCGCAAAAATGAGGGTACAGCCTGGATTAGGACCCCTAACCCCCAACGTAACTGAAGTTCGTAGGCTCCGGCTGCCCTAAGAACCAACATTGCTTGGGTGGAACCTAGCTAGCTAGTTCTGCAGGAGTCGAGTCTCTGGGTTCACCCAAGGGACCGTGAGTGCTGAGTACGAAAGATGAAAACGTTCTACAACAGGCAGGTCACAGGAAACAACAAGGCAAAATGAATTAGGATGCAAAACTATGCAAATACAGTGCCACAAGTCCAAACCAAAAGCACATGTAATTGGCAGACCTTGTGCTTCCATTGTAGTACCCGAAGCACCTCGGTCTCGGCCCAGTCTCATCAGGCCGTCGTGAAAGGCCCATCCTCTGGCCATTGGGAGATGACCACTTGACGAACGAAGCCAGTCCCCGCGATCTAACCACTGTCGCTGGCCAGCTAGAGTGGTACGTAGCTAGCTAGCTAGAAGCTGCTAGAAGATTATTTGAAGATTTTACGGCTGTCCCTTTGGGTGGGGAGTGTGGAGGTGGAGGGTGGAGGTACTAGTAGCTGGTAGCTAGATGATTCTCTTTCAACAAGTCCATGGCGTGTCGGTAGAGTATTGTTAAATCCTTGTTTCTGTTCTGGTTTCCAGAGGCTCTCTTGTAAAAGTCCTTCACTAATAACCCCATGTCCAAAAAGATTTAAATAAGCCAAAATCTCAGACATTGCAAGAATGGTCTTTGGTCTTTCTACTTTCTACTTTCTACGCTTCTGAGAACTGAACTGAACTGAACTGAACTTGTTACTGCTGGTAATTGTACGGAAAAATTAAGTTCCAGCGTTGCAATTAGACAACTCTAGATTTGAGTGGAACCTCCTTGAAAATTGATAAGATCCTACCTGGTGGTACCGTACTGTACCGTTCTCTCAGCACTCATCAGCCCAAGAAAAGATATGATTAAAACACAAAGGAGGGGCTGAGAAGAGGACATCATCAGATAACGACTTAGGTGTCCACTGAAACTTCCACATCATCGTAAAACGATCACCAGCTAGCCAGCGCACCAGAGGGTTTCTCTCACAATTCCAAAGTTGATTAAAAGATCAAGAGAAAGCTTCAAGAACAACAACCAATACCCAAGATGAGCACCCTCCCGTTTCTACCTGCCAACCTCACCCACCTTGTGTTTGTGGTGGATCATGCTCCAGGTCACTCCTTCCAACCAGAGCCGCCAAAAATGAGACAGTCTAGCAGACGCCGAAGTTCCATATCTACCAAGAGTGACGAAATGGATAGCAGCAACTTTAGCGTTAGCAGTGCCAGTCCTGCTATTAGTAGTATGGAGAGCTGGCTCGGTATCAGCAGTAGCGATACCAGCATCCAGCAGGCCATGGTGCAACACCGTGGAGGCTGGATTCGTGACAGCATGAAGAGCGCACCAAAAAAACCCCGAAGAAGGAACACCCCCCCAGCAAGTCCTGAGGCTCCCATGGAGGATCATCAGAAGCCCCAAAGACGAGGATCCATGGAGTGTCATCAGAAGCCGCAAAGGCGAGGATCTTTGGTTCGTGCAGTTTCGCACATTAGCACTGTGGCTTCCATCCACAAGAGCGGTCTCACATTCTGAGAGTGCAGCAGAGCAATGCAGGGACGCCTATTGAGCCAACATGTCAGACAGCAACCTTCAAAACAATTTCAGAGCTCACAGGACAAGACTTCGATCGGCCAATTCAAGCTACATGTAAAGTCTCCAGCAGCTCTGATAAAAGCTGGAAAGATGCCGGGGCTTACGAGGGGGGAGGAGGATGGCGTTCGGGGATGTAAGAGTGGAAATGAAAAAGAAACACCCTTCCCTTTTAAAAGCTACCGTGCAACAGATAAAGTCAAAAGACGATTTTGAGCAAAGCCCCCTCCAAGAAGTCATGTACTAGTAGTTGATACCTACCTACTAGCTAGCTAGTTGCCAACCAAGCAGTAATATTCGCATCCATCCGGAAGGCTCATGGTTGTGCATTGCTATTGTGCTTCCACACTCAGAATTCACAGTTCAAAAATGACACACAGTCCCTTTGCTCATTTTGCGGTACGGTATGGATGAGCCCAGCCTTCCCGTGCGTGCCACTGGGCGCTTCGCTCCATAACGACATCTAGAGATTAGAGTGCGGGCACAAAGAACTCACTGAATCGAATCGGTCGCAGCCTCCTTGAAGCTTTGGGTGTTCAGCCAGCAGCCATACATGATATGCAAACGGTTCGTGTAACGTGATACCGGTACGGCTCTGCGTTCAAGCAAGAGTGGCTGCAGCAGACGACAATGACATGTACCGGTAGACCGTAGACCGACCGGTTCTAGCTAGCGTATGGCGAATGCCTTGCTTGGGCTTCACAACTACAATTGCATGATGTAACTGATGGAAGCAAACTGAAGCTGTGAAATGTAAGATCGGGGAAGTTACTATGGGTTAGAGGGAACTATGGTGAGGATGGGGTGCAAGAGAGAAGAGGGCAGGATGCAGGAATTCAGGCAAAAAAATTTAGGGGACAAACAGGGCAACATCGAAACCAAGGAGAGGGTGGTAAGGTACTAATAGGAGGGCAGGGGGGTCAAAGGAGGAAGACTACTAGCGGAAGAGATCAAGGGCGCCTCTGTCATCCCAACGCTTGCCGACCTTGAGAGCTGGAACACAAGAGCCTCTCAAACACATGTTGGCTTCATCGAGGAGCAATCGCTATGCTCTACCTTGCCGAAATGAAAGAGCAACCCACAGAGTAGGGCTCGGACCACTTGTGAGCCAAAAGCTGGGAGAGTCCTCGGAGAACAACAGTACCTGATAGCTTTGGCAGCAAAGAGGCGTGTGCGGTGTGAATTGTAATTTTACGGCACCGTAGCATGTACTTACCGTACGTACCAGTGCTGGCGTACGGGTACGGTAGCCTTAGTCTTATTAGATAGGAATAAGGTTAAAAACAACGTATTCGTGAATGATGATCATTTAGTCATGAGTGACGCAACTCCAACCTGACAGAAATTCTGGAAGGTGAGTTTGTTGCAACTTCAGCTCAGCTTTGGTTGTTGTCATTGATGGAAGAACCTTCCTCGTTGCAGCATTTGATCAGTTGAGCAACGTGTTCCTTTGTTTTCTATCTCGTTGTTTCGCCACCACCACCACCACGATGATGCCGATGATCCATCACTTGCGACGAGCTACTACTAGCACCAGACTTGGCCTACAAGATGTTGTTGCTGGAAGATCGGCCGCGATTCGCCATGTGTCTACCCGCAAGACGGCCGACACCATGAAATACATCTACGTGCATCCGCTTTCCCAGCTTGTTCTGGAATGTCTTCAGAACGATTACAGCGACTGGTTAGTGCAAAAGCAACTCCATGCCAATACTCTGAGGTTGCATCGAGATGGCACCTTTGAAATCAAGTTTCCCAAGGACAAGCATACTGTGACACCCAACAAGAATGATGAGTCGGCAGTGCGCATTTGGACCAGTTTTGACAATGACAGCAAGCAACATTGGTTGTCTGTCTCGCTGCAACATGGTTCCAAGCTGCAGGGAAGATACATGCTACAGGACAATCTCAGTTCGGGATGGACCGGAAACAACAAACGACGATCCCTCCCGGAACGCATTCAAACTGCCGTCGAGGAAATGGTCGAAGCTATAGATGACACGGAACGAAAACAAAAACAGGCAGGCTTGAGAAGAAACTAATTAAAATGGTGGAATTGGTGGATAGTGGGAGAATTCCTACTAGAGCGATTGAAGAAGAAAGATACCTTTTGCAATCTTCAAGACATTTCAAATTTTTGCCCCCCTCTCGTTTCCCACCGCACGACGAAGAAATGGAAGATCAAAATCACAATGAAATGGGACTAGCTAGGCTACCGGTACTCCGTTGTTGCATACATTGTAGGAAAAGTTGTCCACAGACCACAGAGTTGGAAATTATTGTTTCGTGTGATTTTTTTGCGGCCGCATCGACGCCTCGATGGTCTCCTAGCTAGCTAGCTAGCTAGCTAGCTAGCTAGCGAGTCAGTCTGCACAGCACCGTTGGCCAATCACATGCGCAATCTTGACTTTTTCTGACTGAAATGCTCGTCCTATCCAGGGTTGGCTCTTTGATGATTTGCAGTTTCAAGAAGACGAAAATAAAAAGTCTGTTTGATTCAGGTTGCGGTGAGCTCTCACGAAGCTCGACGTCCCCTTAGCATAACTTTCCGCGCTCTACTAGTGCTTTGCCACGGTATTCCGCCTCAAGTACTGTACACCGTACGGTATGGATACCAGAAGATGAACGATGGAATCAAAGGCGTGCCCACCAAGTTGCTTTCTTGCCCGATTCCTGGCATAACATTTTTTCGCTTCTGATACCGGTACCTTTCACCTGTTGTGCTGGCTTTTTGGGGTTAGCCCAAACGAGTGCCAACGACGTGTGGACGAGCCAAGCAGCAATGCAGCAAGACAGAGAACCCGAAAGACCTCCACAACAAGCTACCTCCACATAAAAAGAAGGCGAGCCAAGTACTAGAACATACCTGGCAGAACAACAACAGCATTGCATCTTCTTGGCCGAATCGAAACTTTTCGAAACTTTTCGAAAGGGCAAGATGTCCATTTTTTCCAGTGGCGATCCTTTGAATGCGATTGTCTGTGATGTGGGTCAGTACGCCACGAAGATTGGCTTTGCGGGGGAGGATTATCCTCGGGCCTATTTCCGGTCGGTAAGTCTATGACAATACTATCGCCTTTGCCATTTGATATTACTCTCTTTGTCTCTCGTTACTCATTACTGCCTTCTCCTTTCATGCTGTCCGTAGAATGTGGCTGCCATTCGAGAAGGTGACGATCCGAATGCTCCCAAGACCAAGACCACTACAACCACCAGCAGTAACGACGACCAGAAGCAGAAGGAGAAGCGTCGACCAATTGTGGATTTGAATTATGATTACTATAATCGTCCCATTTGCAGCCGTGCGTCTGATCCCAAAGAGTGGCACGATGGAAATTGGGAAACACAAAATCCTGTGGATGCCACTACTGGATTGTGGTACGATCCCCACAGCTACAACGAAAGTAGTGGTGGAGGAGCCGACTGGTATGATCAATTGGAATTGATGGTACAACACGGCTACAAGACTTCCCTCGCCAATGCTCAACCGGAAAATCATCCCTTTTTGCTCATGGAAAAATCCTACAATCCACCTCCCATACGACAACAAACACTGGAGTGTCTCTTTGAAGGAGCACTGCAAATGCCGGCCGTGTTCTTGGCCAAGGATGCCACCTTGGCGTGTTATGCCTGTGGACGCACTACTGGGACGGTGGTCGATATGGGATACGGTGGCACCACTGTGACACCTGTCTATGAGGGATACGTCGAAACCAAAGGCATTCATCGGAGTCCTGTTGGAATGCTGGAAATGGATGAACGCATCCTCCAAACACTTGATCATTTTGGAAGCAAACAAAAACAACCACCCTTCCTGCCACTCTATCAAGTCAAACACAATAAATCCACACCCCGGCGAGCCGATCCATTTCATCATCTCGCACGATTGTATGTGGCACAAGGGTGTCGCGAAGAAGGAGTGGGGGCGGCCGTCGATACCACTTCTACGGCCGTCGCCTTTGCCGCACGCAATGCACCCTTTACATTGCCCGATGGACAAACCGTAAACATTCCACCCAATCATCGATTTGCCGTTGCCAATCTACTTCTTGACAAGGACGAACAGGAGCGTAGAGATGAAATTGTGGAAGCACGCAAAAAGAAATTATCCTCCTACATCAATGATGCCAATGCAAATAGTGACAATGACAAGGAAACAAAAGTCTTTACAGATGCGTCTGCTGTCGGGATTTCCTCCACCCGCCGTGGTCGGAAACGGCAAGCATCTTCCCCGAAAAAAGAAACTCCCCAACCAAAAACTTCTTTTTCCAATCGACTCTTGCAAAAGGCATGCATTCCCTATTTGCAAACGTACTTGGAGGAACACTTGACAGCATCGCCCTTGCCCGCCATGGTGTGCGATGCAGCCTATCGATGCGATCGAGATCAGCAACCCCAATTGTTAGGAAATGTCGTGCTGGCAGGTGGAGGAGCCTGTTTGGGTCCCACCGAACAGGCTGTACCTGATTTTTTGCGGGAGAAGGTCGAAACCATGATTCATGCCCATACACCTGGGTGGAGGGTCAAAGTGTTGTCACCTGGCATAACCGAACGGAAGGTTTGTAGTTGGCTCGGGGGCAGTATCCTGGGGAGTCTCGGAACCTTTCACGAAATGTGGATTACCCGGGCTGAATACGAAGAGTACGGTACCGCCATTGTCAATCGAAAGTGTCCATGAAGTTTTAGTTGAATCTTTCGAACAATTGGCTTTTTAGAAATAGTACTGTTATGGATTGTGTTTTTAATTTCGTCTCCAAAGAGACAAGGGGGTACTGGTACAGTTGGGGGGCAAGGTGGTGCTTTCGAGCTCCCGCTATCTCTGCACGGACCTAGAGCTAGAGATTGGTGCCAGTGCCGGGAAGATGTCTCGACTCGTCACTCGGCGCTGGACCTCTGTGGAAACGTCATTCGTGGCAAAATACTTAGGAGACGATACACCGAGGAATAGGAGACGATCGAAATGATTTAAGAGACGAAAGCAATCGTCTCCTATATTTAGGAGACGATTCAGTAGGAGACATTCCAATTAGGAGACGATCGTTTCGAAATAGGAGACGATCCGAAAGATTTAGGAGACGATACCATACAGTTTACATGATACACTTAGGAGACGATCCGTTGAGAATAGGAGACGATCCGTTGAAAATAGGAGACGTTTTAAGAGGAGACAAAAGAGTTAGGAGACGATCCGTTTCGTCTCCTATTTTTAGGAGACGAAATCCATTAAATAGGAGACGATCAAAAGGATTTAGGAGACGAAAAGTAGCACGACTCAAGTTTCCACAGAGGTCCTGCTGGTTGGAGGAGTGAGGAGTGCACTAGTGACTCAGCCTCCTTGGAGGGAGTCATAAGTCCCGTTTGTATGTGGTAACGAAGGCTTTCAATAGATCTCATTTTTTCAAAAGATCGTGCCCTTGACAACCTCCCACAGCCTGCCCCTCTTCCAGATAACAGAGAAGATGTCCGATACTACTGTTTTGATTCATGTAGGCACCTGCTTTGGAGATGACGATTCTCCTACAAAGGTGGTACTTCGATTGTCACTGGCGACCGACACGGGCATCCTATCGGCTCTTAGCCTTATTCGCGACTCGATCCTAGATAGGGTTTGAGTTCGACTCATGACTGAGTCTCTCGTGAGAATAGTCATTGAGACGGTTCTCAATGACCGCTCTAGTCATACTAGGTTGATGATGAAACATCGCTCTAGATATTTAGCCAGCGTGGAGTACTTCCACGCTACTAGATAAATGCTAAGACGAATCTTCCACCGTTCCGTTTTTGGATCGTGAGTGAGTAGGATTGCTACCACAACCTACTCTATCACACTTCTACAAGTCTCCCGCGGAGTTCAGATCTACGATCTTTGATTGTTGATCTCTCTCGTTGATTAGTTTCATAGCTTTCTATCCTCTCATAACTTTCATTCTCTCAAACTCAAAACATCCGAAAGATCTTTACACTAGCTCTTTAGCGTAGTGCATTTTGTTAAACAAACACAATAGCTTTCAGCTACCCTCAACCTATTCCTCACCATGAAGATTGCCAAAGACGCATACACCACTTGAGTCTAAGCTGCGCGACAAACCATCCTTCCTCTCATCGACCCGACGATGAATGCGAAATCGAGATTCTCGCTCTACACCTACAAACTTTCGCACTATATCCAGCAGATGCTAACAGCGCAGTAACACCTTCAAGGTCCAAATCATCAATGGATTGAGACTCCACGTCACACATCAAGTGGCTGGACGTATGGAGAAGGTCTCCGTTAGTCGGGTCTCGCCATTGCATACGGGGCCTTGACGACAAACATCATCCTCCCAGAAAGGAGATGACCTTTAGCTCTGCAAAGAGCCATTACGATCTAGCTGTGCAGGCCACAGTGAAATACGTTGGAATGCATTGCGCCAGATTGCAGTCAACGGTATTGCTCCACGCGATGTACGTGGCGGGGAAGACGAAGCCGCTTTCCAAGTACGATTCCAGGCTGCCTGGAACGGAGCAGCTCAGCCTGCTTGGACGACGCTGACATTACGTTTGGCATAAATGCCCGTATCGAAGCGGTCTGTCACAACTAACAAGGGGCCGCTTGAAATGCAGAAACGCTTCATGCGCCGCAAGAATCGTAAGCCTGCTGATATGTCTACTCGGGCTTATGTCAACAACCTCAGTCTGATGAACACCGATGAACTTCCTCGTCTACCACCTTTGGACCCAACCAAAACGTTGAACCATGACGAATTCATCGACATCGTCTGTCATGGAATTCCACGCGCTCGTGGATTGAAGAAGATGACGAACAACGACCTCGATCCTTTCTCAGCTCCTATCGGGGAAACAATTGGATTCTGCGAACGCATGGAACCCTCCGAAGACTTTGACAACAAGGGCGGTGTGCCAAGCAAGGCTCCTTCGAAAGAAGAACAACAGCAAGAAGTTAAAGTCTACTCGCAACAACGACCATTCCTCCAAGAACGAAGAAAAATGGGCGACTACCACGAGTCCAGCACTCCACAACACTGCTGACTGCATGACTCTGAGGAAGCTCAAGGCCAAGTCTCAGTCCTCGTCTGAAACCGATAACAAGCCAGCGTACAACATGAAGAACAAGAACTGGAAACGCAAGTCCGACGACGCCAAGACTTACACCAAGAAGAAACTCTCTGTCCTCATAAAGAAAGTTTCCAACGCTGCTTTCAAGGCTGATCGCAAGAGAAAAGCGAAATGCAACCATGTTGCCAAAGCCAAGTCCAGAAACTCCAGACAACGAGGACGACTTCCTCGTTCGGACCAATCAACATGATGGACAAGAAAATGGCTGCCGTTGATAAGGCGCTTGCAGAATTCGACCTCAATCATTCGGATGGAGAGATCTTCCATACTGAGGATAAGCCCAGGAATAATGATTCAAGCGGAACAATGTCCGATCTCAATACCTAAGTGATGAAGATATCTCACTAAATAGTAAAAAAGATTTGTTTGAAACTAATGAAGTCTACGGAAAATTAGATAATTTCCTATCAACTACTCAACAAACACTGACGATCGTTTCAGCATCGTTAACTTTCTCCATGGCCAATCCAACTCATTCACTGTGGCAAAACAAGAGACCTCGAAACTATCGTCTATGTTAGATTTAACAGACGAGAGAAAAGGGAAACAAAAAACGCCGTTCAACTCTGTTGCTTACTGGATACAGGAGCATCCCGAACTTTAATTACCCAAACTCATGCTAAAGAGTTTACTCATGAAGAATCATGGGGGCGTCCAAGCATTACGGACTGCTTCTATGAAGGAATTGAAACCCCGCACGAAGTGTAAGGGCACACTCGTGATTCCTGAGTTCCACGATAATGGAATTATCGAATGAAGTACACGCAGCGACAATGCAGATAGTCTCAAGAAGATTCTTGATACGACATACGAACAAGCAGACTTAAGGCAGATGTGCCAGAGTCGAAACCAGTTAAATAAGGAAGAGCAAGAACTGCTCATGCCTTTTCAACCAAAGTGCTTCGGTCCAGTCGAGGATACTTTGGGAGAGTTGCGAATGGACCACTACGAAGTAGAACTTCGTCCCGAAGCTAAAACCTATTATACTAGGGCTCACCCTACTCCACGGCTCCATACCAAACTCTTAAGAAGGAGGTTGAACGTCTCTGCGGGAGGCAGGAGTACTCGAGAAGGTGAATCGTTTCGAGTGGCGGCACCAACTTTTATCATTCCCAAGGAAGAGGGATCTGTACGATCAATCTCTGATTTCCGGGAACCGAATAAAAGGATCAAAGCGGAAGCCTTATCCTACCCCAAAAATACAGGACATGCTCTTGAACCTAAAAGGATTCAAGTGCGCTACCAATCTAGACCTGAACACGTGACACCTACCCGTACAACATCGAGCTGTCCACTCACTCGAAGCAACACTGTACCATTGCACTCCCGAGGGGAAAACACGAGTACCAGAGATTGCAAATGGGCCTATGCAATAGTCCCGACATTTTCCAAAGGAAGATGAAACACGCATGCATGAACTAGAAAATGTCCTGTGCATACATTGATGATCAATCTCATCCTAACTGGCGTCGATCTGGCGGATCGCGTTGAATAGTAGTATGACCATTTCCAAAAGACTTAAAGAAGTCGGGGTTAAAACCAACACTACCAAAGCCTTCCTCGAAAGGAAAACCTTGAGTATCTAGACAATTGGACTCCTCGAGAAGGAATCCAACCTTAAACTAAAAGACAATAGAATGCGATCCAGCTTTCGCTCTTCCTACCAACATGAATGAACTTCGTAGATTCATTGGACAATGAACAGCCAAGGGCTGCTCCAAGACAGCAGAAGGAGTAACCATCGTTCGAAAACAGACGTGGGTTACCCAATATCCATGACCGGTTGTCATGGAACAGAGAACGTGAGTCACGCGCAGTAGGTCGAGAAGACTCGGATGAACGTGGACTTCGTCGCAAGTTCGCGCGTGTCAATCGTGACAAGATTAACAACATCCGTTTCAAAGCAAAACCGGAAATACATTAAGAACCGTTGCGTCGCCAAAGACTTATCCAGAAAAAAACACCGATAAGGAACACGACACGTGTCCCACATCAAAACAATGTCAACGATACTAGATGATTCATCAGTAATCAGCACCTTAAGTACGGTCAGCCAAAGTTCCTTACCACACAGACCGAGTAAATAACAATGGCATTGTACGGCTCCGACATGCCACTGCACCACTGCAAATGGTGGTGGTACAGTCTACCAGACTTGGAACATAAGGTGTTTACACCCATACAAGGCCGGATCCCCTTGTAGGATTGCATCGTGCGACGCACATTTCTACATCCAATCTCCGGAGATTTCCCCGCACTTTAATTCATATGTTCTCCTGTCCGACTGCTGTCGTGCCTTCCTGGACCCTTGTCAGGGGGCGAATGCAATAGCCGGCCTAGCCTATTTGCGACTCGATCCTTAACGATAGGGTTTGAGTTCGACCTCATGACGTGATTCTTCTCGTGAATAGTCCATTGCAGACCAGGGTTCTCAACTCGCGCTCTCGCTCCATACTGCGTCTCGCTGAGTGAAACAGTCTGCTCTAGATAATGTTAGCCAGCGTGGCCCCAAGTACTTCCACGCTACTTATAAACTCCCTTGATAGAATGTCTCCCACGACAGAATTTCACGGTTCCGTTTTTGGATCGTGGAGTGGAGTAGGGTTGCTACCAACAACACTACTCTATACACTCTCAGTCTCCCGCGGGTGGAGTTAGATTCTACGATCCTTTGATTGTGTGATCTCTCTCGTTGATTAGTTTTCATAGCTTTCTAATCCTCATAACTT